AAAATACTTTTTGGGTCCAATTTGCCACCCCTTAAAATTTGCCGCCCTAGGCTCTAGCCTACTTAGCCTGCTGGTAAATCCGCCACTGAATTTAAGTTACTGTTAGTTTTACCTACCGTACAACATCATGCTGACTGTGGCGATTAGCACTATGGCTACTTTTTGTGTCCTAATACCAAGATGCGAGACATCTTATTGTCTACTACAGATATGTTCATTTTCATGTTTCATCCACATTTCATTATAAGCATTCACCTCCAGTCTCAAATTTCCTAAAACTTATTCGGCTTCTAATAACTTCAGCGCATTGAAGAATTGATTGACTTTACTTATTTTTAGCGTTCCGTACCCAAAGGGTAAAACGTCCCGTTTTACCCCTATTATTAAGATTCCGCTGACAGAGAGGCTGTCTGTCTATCCGTAATACAACAAACACTATTTTTTGACCCTTGGTGCACGAGTACGACTCGTACTTGGCTGGTTTATTTTATTATATGAGAAGGCGGCAAACGAGCTGGCGGTTCACCTTATGTTTAGTGAATAACCGCCGGCCATTGAAATTTGTAACACCCGTAGGGTTGCAGATGTGTCGTCAACTTTGAACAAAGTGGGCCCCGTCTATCTCACTCACGCGAAACGCAGAAGAAGAAAAGAAAACTTCCACTTTACGGCGATCTTCTGTGAAGTCGTGATACTTACCCGGACGGCCCTACCGCAGTCTTAACGTGAACTGTTTCTAGTAATAGCCACAATAAGAATTACCTTAAAACGCGAGAATACTTTGTTAAAACAGTATTTCTAAACCTGAATATTTATAAGGTACGTAATTTTAAAATTAATAATTTAACAGTTATAATAAACAAAAGAAATAACAAAAAGCATAATATACATACAATTTTTATATTATATAATTATATAAAATAAATCATAATTAACCAGTTGTTTTGTTTTCTCTATACCTAGAGAAAACTATAAAAAAAATTCAATATAAGACAAATTAATAATAAAAGTTGCTCAACTGACCAAAAAAATGTAATTTACTATGACAAGTCAAAAAAAACCCTATGCTCACATAGCGCCACAATGACTCGCGAAAACGCTTAATCGCTCCATAATAACTACATCAATGGGTTGGTAATTGTATATCTCTTTTGTGAGCGGAGGTCTACCCTCTAATGCCGAAGGATCGCCTGCCCCCGCGGGTGATTTATTGAAGAAAGCTTTTAAACCCTTGCGGTCTCCGGCCATTGTCGGAGATTTGTGCCTCGCCTTATGCCATGGGTCATTACTGGTTATGCCCGGATTTGCTCTATTAATTCAATGTTCCAAAGTCATTGCTTCCTTTGTGCACACTGTTATTGTTTTGGCATTACAATATCCACGTTTTTATTAGATTTTTGCTGATCAAATTGTGAATCTGTAATAATGACTTTGTTCGGCTTTAAAATTTGAAACAACGTGAACGTTGAACAAACGTGTAATTTGTTCGGTTCAGTTAGCCCGGCGGCTTTGACAGCTTCGTCGGAAGAGGTCCTCGGGCAGAAGACCCACGGACTCGGGAGAACAACGTAGCTGGTACAAACGACGACAATAACACGCCGTCCGCTCCGCTGCACTCCGCAACACCCTGCTAACGAAACATGGACAATCGACTAACAGGGAGGGGCACGATACGATCCAATGGCCCCTCGGATGGAGGTTCGAGTCTCGGCTTGGATTGCAATCGATATGGATGCAGAGCAAACCTTATACGTCTATGCGAGCCCGGTGAGTATGTTTTGGGCTACTTATATATATCGTAATCATTTAAGTTTTCGAAGATGAAGGTTTTTTCCCAGGATAACCTGAACGGATTTTGGTGAAATTTAAAAGTAACAAAGCTTATTCGTAAGAATAATAAATAAGCTACAATTTACAACGATATTATGGCGAAGCACTAGGCGTGTCGCTTTATAATTATATTTTAAAATAACTTTTATTGAATTTTGTACCATATTTTTATTGAAATGATAGAAAACTACATACACGTCTATGTATTACCTACTTTTATTGTCAGTCAGTAACGAATCAATAATGTAAAACAACAATTAAAACAACTTAAATCTTCGTTTTATATATTGGTTTTTGATAGTAAAATCTTTGATAAAACTAATGCAACTTAGGTTTTATGCAAGATAATTTTCAATGAAAAGCGAGGCCAAACTAGTTACATAGTTTGATATATTGTATACCGCAAGTACCTATTAGATAACTGCGTTCGCATTATTGCATTCTGTCATTGGTATTGTTTAAAAAATCCTTACTAATATTATAAACGTCTTAAATATAAAACTCTTTCAAGCAAATACCACTGAATGGATTTGAATGAACCTTACAATAATATAGCTTATACATCAGAATAACACATCCTTACTAATATTATAAACTCGAAAGATTGTATGAATGGATGGATGTTTGTTACTCTTTCACGCAAATAGTACTGAACTTAATGAAAAAAAAAGTAAAGTTACAGCCTATACATGTCCCACTGCTGGGCAGAGGCCTCCTCTATACAGAGGGTATCAGGGCATTTTGTTATTATTTCGAAAATATGCAGGTTTCCTCACGATGTTTTCCTTCACCGCGGAGCACGTGGTAAGTAACATACAGTTGTAAAAACATCATTAGAGCCGTGATAAGTCAGTGTCCGGGCGCTCGCCTTTAATTCAATTTACTCGAGCAACCTGAGTTCGATCCTAGGTGCCGGCACCAATTTTAATGAAACTTTACAATAATATAGCTTATACATCAGAATAACACATAGACTATAATTTATAGACACATTTTTATGTATCTTTCTGTCTGAATATTACGCCTTCAGCCTATTCTACGCAGACGTTGTCGCAGGCAGCAGCTAGTATATAAATATGCAATAAGTAAAAAAAAAAGATTTCCCGGCGTTGAGACATTTCTCTTATAGATTGTGTCTATCAACAAAGTTTAATGTTTCGAAAGTGCTGAAAACCTTAAATTTCACCGCACAACCACACAACAAATCTTTATTGACCACCCGAATGGCGTATTGGGTAGTGTACCTACCTTCTACGCCATAGGGTGTGGGTTCGATCTCCACTACTGGAAAAATATTGTGTGATGAGCACAGTGTTTTTCTAGTGTCTGGGTGTTTTTCTTTTTTTTTTTCACAACATTTTCTAGTCCCAAACTAAGCAACGTTTGTACTATGGGTACTCGATAACTGATAAACATACTTAAATATACTTTTCTTTTGTAAATAAATACACATTATACATATATAAACTCTAAAAGTTTCTCGAGAACGTTGTGTAAACATGTGTCCGAAAATCTTATCCTTTAAACGAGCAATTCTTGTATACATATACATATATATATATATATATATATATATATATATATATATATATATATATATATATATATATATATATATATATATATATAATCGGAATCTCGGAAACGGCTCGAGCGATTTTCATGAAATTTAGTATGTGCGTAGATTCGGGGGCAAAAAATGGATCTAGCTAGGTTTCATTTTTAGAAAATGCCCTTTTATCCCTGTTTTCAGGGAATGAAAAATATAATTCGAATATGACGGTAAATTTCGCCGCAAGAGAAAATGTCATAATAGCTCGGTCGGTAATCGGGCGGCCCCAAAACAGACGGCCGTGGTTCGCTCATTTACGCATTTATTTTTTTACTTTTTTTCGATTCCAGATCATTACTTTCTTTATTTTTCATTTTTTGTCGATTTTAATGTTACGTTTTTCCCTTTTTTTTAAAGTTCTTTCTTTTGTGAAAAACACCAGTTCATATTTTCTTATTATTACGTCGGTAAGATCGAAAAATATTATGCATATTTCATTACTCAATAATTTGTATCTAAATGTAATTTCCAAAATACACGATTTACCAAAAAAAAACAAACCGAGCAACGCTCGGTCCTCCGGGTACTATTTATTTATTTATCATATCAGATTTAGAGTTGATTGTTACCTTTTCTTGGAGTTCAGAACAATTTCGCCATTGATAAAATAGTTCGGTTATGTCATATATTAAGTATATGAAAAAATGTAAATAAAAATATTATTTTGTTTTTTTTTCTGAAACTCCATGTAACAGAAATATATTGCATTTGTTGAAATCTTTCTTTCATATAATTTTTAATAAATAAATGTTGAACCTAATTTATAAATAATAATGTTTTAAGTATTATCCTGCATAATAATAATAAAATATTGTTATTACTTTTAATAAACCATACATTGATAACGGACTAAAAAGTATAAAACCTTCATTAAAACATGGTAGATTTTTTTTATTTTACTGCGCGTGCCCCTATTGCAAACAAGTACTGTTTTTTATTAGTAATTGTTTCATCAACCGTCTCTGCACCCGCTCTACCTTAAATGCACAGAACAATAATACTCTCACGAGAAGAAGCGAGACCGAGAACAACGACTTCATACATTCGGAACACTCACACGGGTGCACACTAGCGCTTCAGTGTATACCATCGAAACTAACCCGTAACGCGGGAATATGTGAAATAATAGAATTTGCATATCATTTAAGAATTAGGTACTAATAAAACTATTCGTTAAATATGCTTAATTATTTTTATTTAAAAAAAATAAAATTGTTTTGAGTCTTCCTCAATAAATTTCAATAACGATTTTATTAGGTATACTACCTATACTTTGATAGGAGAACCATCGTTATGTATTAAAAAGTGTCCGTCAAAACGCGTGAGCGCTGCAGTAGCGTGGGATAAATTTTAAAGAAAGCGCCAAAAGCGCAATAAATAGAGAAATACAAGGACCGACAAATTTCCGCTTGTTTTTGGCAAACTTTTCAAACAAAAAAAATATTTGTGTACTTTTGTAGGCACGTAAGAAGTTATACTACACAATATACAAGTTATACAATCTTTTCGTGCTTTTTCTAAAAATTTTAAAATACATTAGCGTAATAAAAGAAAGTTATCTAAAAATTTTATCCCCTGTGGCACAGGGGATAAAATTTTTAGTTCTCTTTGTATATGTGAAAAAAGACATTAAATGCGATTGATAACGGTTTAATTAAATAACTTGGAGTTATAGGTCAACTTCAAAAAGTTGTTATTGTACCGTAGATATGACTCGTTTGTTATATTTTAGTTGTTTCACCATTATAATGGCATTCTACGTTGGGGAAACGCGGCCGATATAAATACTGTCTTCATCCTTCAAAAGAGAGTATTCGAGTATTTTATAATCTGGGCCCCAAAGAATCATTAAGAAATTGGTTCAAAGAGATTAAAATGTTGCTTCACAGTACATACTTGAAAATGTAATGCATATCCATAAAAAGAATAATATAAGACACTGGTGCAGTTTGTAAACTCTTTATTTTCATCAACATAGAGCTTACTGGCATATGCCTTACAAAATTTACTTAGTACAACTTCGATAAAATAGTGAGAGTCGCGGAGGAATACGATGCACACGTCCTTCTGATACGACGCGTGCGCACCGACTGGCGACGGCGGGCCCCCGGCAGGGCCTCCTGCCGGGCGGCCGGGACTCAAGGCCACGCGCCCCGAGCGGCCAACGCCTACCTAACGTTATAAAACCCCCGCGCGTTACACTCTCCCCCTCTAACCCGAACGATGCGCCCCCGCGATCTAGCGGTTAGCTTTACGCGGTTAGCTTTACGCGGTCGCCCTCTTTTACGCTTTTCCTGGACAGGAGCTTGGATAAGGCCAACGAAGGGAGTCATTGCAGAAACGTGAAACTTCCCTAATGACACGCTATCACTAACCCGCTCTAATTCATACGTCGTCGCGCTGAGCACCTTCCTAACTCGATAAGGACCGTCGCGTCGCGGAATGAACTTAGGCGTCTGTCCCTTGCCCGCCTCATTGGGTCCTCGCGTCTTGAGCAGCACCAGGTCTTCCACTTGATAATCGGGAGCTGGTCGGCGGTTCTCATCGGCGTACTTCTTCTGCATCGCTTGTGTTTTTTCGTAAACGTCCCGAGCATCCCAAAGGACCATGGAAAGCTTTCTCAGATAAGGCGTTATATTGGTTATAAAGCTATCGTTATCAATTATTGTTTGCATCTCCGATTGAACATCGGCCGGCGCTCGTATTTCACGTCCAAAGTTCAGATAAGCTGGTGAATAACCCGTACCTGAGGTAATTGCGGAATTCATAGCGAAACGGATCGCTGGTAGATGAATATCCCAAGTTGTATGGTCTCTTCCCACGAGAATGGCGAGTTGTGGCTTCAAGTCTCGATTTTTCCTCTCCACAGGGTAAGCCTCCGGGTGATAATACGACGTTAGAGCTTGGGTAATACCCATAACATGACAGGTTTGTTGCATCACCTCGCTTATAAATTGGACACCATTGTCGCTTACGAGCCTCCTCGGCACTCCAAACCGTAGAAACACTTCTGAAACTAAAACCTTCGCGCATTCCTCGCTAGTGGCGGATGCGAGCGCGAATAACTCAACCCATCGGGTACAAGTGTCTTCAACTATCAAGATCCACTTGTTACCGTTCGCGGTCTGTGGAAGGGAACCGAATAAATCCACAGACAAGGATTCGAAACGGCGCGCTGAAACTGGTGTTTGTAATAACCCAGCAGGCTTTCTTGTATCCACCTTATACTTCTGACACGGCGCACAATTCTTAATATAATTCGAAATAAAAGCCCGCATTCCTGCCCAATAATACTTGCCAGCGATTCGTAGTAGCGTGCGTTCTACGCCGAAATGACCGACCGTGGGTGCATCGTGATATTTAGCCATAACATCTTTCCGTTCCTGTTCTGGCACTTCTAGACTCGCGTCATCGGAATCTCCATTTTCGGGACCGTAACGGAAAAGAATACCGTCATTAAGTAGGTAACCTTTGTCAGCCCACGCCTTTCCTCTCGATATATCATCAGACTCCATTGCCTCGATGATCTTGAGTACTTCAGGATCCGCCACCTAACCCTCTCGAACGTCTTTGGGGCTGCGTGAAGGCATGTCGACCACAGCTAAACAGAGATCGCAACCTGTGTCTACTGTACACGCTGGACGCGACAGAGTGTCTGCTATAACGTTACTCCTACCAGGAGTATATTCAATCTTCAGGACATACTCTTGTAGGCAGAGAGAGCCCACCTTGCTAGGCGACCACTTGGGCTTTTCATGCTCATGAGCCATCTGAGCGGCTGGTGGTCCGATCTAACCACTACCTCAGCTCCGTCAATATAGCCACGAAATTTGGAAACAGCCCACACTACGGCTAGAGCTTCCCTCTCCGTCGTGCTGTAGTTCCGTTCTGCGGGAGTAAGCAGACGGCTGGCGTACTCGACGGGACGTTCATCATTTCCCTCCCCCTGGAGTAGAGCCGCTCCCAGGGCATAGCCACTGCTATCAGTTCGAAGGACGAAAGGTTTCGTCTCGTCGGCCTGACGCAATATTGGTGCCGAAACGAGAAGGGACTTTATGTGCTCAAAAGCTTTCTGTTGTTGGGGCCCCCACTGCCAAACACTTCCCTTCTTTAATAGCAATGTCAGCGGCTTAGCGACCTCCGAATAATTAGGGACAAAACGTCTGAACCAGCTGGAGGTCTGTAAGAAACACTTGAGGTGCTTAACATTTTCAGGGGTGGACATGTTTGCAATAGCAGAAGTCTTCTCGGGGTCTACGTGTATACCGCCTGGTACGATCACATGTCCTAAGAATTTCACCGACCTCCTAGCGAAATGGGACTTCTCGCGATTCACTCGTAGTTTAAACATCGCCAGACGATCAAATACGGCACCAAGATCTTCCAAGTGCTTCTCGAACGAACCCTCAGGTAAAATCAGTAAATCGTCCAAGTAAGCTACTATAAGAACGCCAGGCAAGTTGGATTTGAATCGATCAATCAACCTCTGGAATGTGGCTCCAGAATTTCGGAGGCCCATGGCCATTCTTTTAAACCTGTATGTCCCTTGGGGCGTGATGAAGGCCGTTTTATCTCTGTCGTCGGGATCCACGATGACCTGGAAATAACCTGAACGAAGATCACAAGACGTCATGAATCTTGAAGTTTTAGCGGCGTGGAGGACGTCTTCAATCCTAGGGAGCGGGTAACGGTCAGGCTCGGTGACCGCGTTGAGTTTGCGATAATCAACGCAAAGTCTATAACTGCCGTCCTTCTTCTTGACCAAGACAACATTTGAGGCCCATGGTGACTCGCACTCCTCGATGACATCGGCATCGAGCAACCTTTGTAGCTCGGTTTCAAGTGCTTCCCTCTTCGGCGGGGATAATCTATAGGGTGGAGACGCCAGAGGCTCCTGGTTTTCACTTACCCTAATTTTATGCGTGGTGAATTCCGTAGGAGGTCCTTCAGTGGCGAACTGGTCCTTTCTCCCTCGCAGAAATTTGTTGAATGTGGCCCTCTGATCCGATGACAACTCCGTGCCTTCATTTTCACGCAGGGAGACGTCCGAGACATCTACTCGCATCAACTCGCTGTTTAAAACAAACGACTTCGCGAAAGGCAACTTCTTATCCGGATCATCTGAAAAAAAGTATGACTCCTGGCCTATGTCCAACACTATCCCAGCCCTAGCGATGAAATCGCGTCCTAATAACGTACGGGTGTTGTCCCCGGGAAACACCATGAACTCCGTAATAATTTCTTTATCCCCTAATATAACTGGTACGATACCAGTTGCCACGATCCTACTCTGACCTGAACCACACACCTGAACACCACTATCCCGTAATATTGAATAAAGCATCGGGCTAGCTATACAGTGTGTAGCTCCCGTATCGACCCTCCGCGTCGCGTGCTTCCCCGTTGAACCTCGCCGTACACCTCCGGGCGCGGCGGACGTACTCGCAACGGGGCTCGAAGCAGTAGGCGTCGACTCCGTTGTACCTTGCAAGGACCTCATGGTCTCTATGAAAATTCTGTTGTTCTCCGCCTGGGTTCTCACGAAGGTTTCCATAACGGTAGCTAAGATTTTCTCCATCCCCACCGGTGCACCAGACTCGGCGCAAGCGCCGGCGGGGGGAAACGCAGGAACGGCGCCGCCATCGGCGCGCGATTCGACCGCTGAGTCTTCGTATTCCGGATCACTGCTATCGCTTCTCTCCTCTCGCATCCCATGTTTACTTTGTGTAGTAACACGCGTTGTTCTGGGCATGTTTTATGTAGATCTTGCGGGTCGTGGCTCCGGTCGTCCGAGAGTCGCGGAGGAATACGATGCACACGTCCTTCTGATACGACGCGTGCGCACCGACTGGCGACGGCGGGCCCCCGGCAGGGCCTCCTGCCGGGCGGCCGGGACTCAAGGCCACGCGCCCCGAGCGGCCAACGCCTACCTAACGTTATAAAACCCCCGCGCGTTACAATAACGAATTTTCAAGACATGTTTATGTGTATGATCCTATATACTAGGAAGAAACATAAATTAATTCTACCCCTTAATAATCTATTAATTCAGAGAGCTGGTTCTTTTCTCGCTCAAAGGTTAAGCATAACTATTCAGCGAGGAAATGCAGCTAGCGTTCTTGGCACCATGCCGCGTGGATTAGGTTTACTAGACTACGTAGAATAAGCAATTTTTTTATGGGACAATGTATACGTTTTTACAAAAAAAATCCCAGAAAACGTTCACGTTATTTAGCAATTGATACATTATCAATTGTTAAATTCAAAAAAAATAGTAAAAGAACGTTTGTGTGTTAAAGTCTATTATAAAATTAGTGATTATTTAAATAAAAATACAACCTGGAAATGAGATGATGGATCTAGGCTCCTTAAAAAGGACTTTAAAAAATTGTAAACATGTATGTCAAATCAAATTCACAATTGGTAAAATCTACATAAATAGAGCTTTCAGCTTTTTCCAGAACGGTAGTCGCAGCATACTTTCCCGCTCTTTCTCTACTCTAAGGGTGCCTCCCCCTGCTCGTGCAACTTAAGTGTTGCCCAGTATTCCAAGCACATTCAGTCAAAAAACCCTTCATGACTACAGGCTTTAAAGCACACATTAGACAAGACGTTGAACGTTTTTTCGTCAACGTCGATTCATATTCGTCAATGTGATGCTGTTCAATTCGGATGAATGAACGGATTTTATTTGACGCTGCAACGTTCGAGTCTAAATCGTCTGACAGCTGACTAATTAATAAAAACACTTTACACAATTACAAACTAATAAACTTACAAAAAAAGACACCTTAAGCATCAAGTGAAATTCTGATAATATTTATGATAAGCCGTAAAATAATCTCTTACTGACTCTGCAACTGTTCACAAATTGTCACACAAAAATTTAAGGAAGCGAAACTTTGAGAAAAGTGGCTCTGAAATTATTATTGTCGGCTTTTACATTTTTGTATTTAAGTTTAGAAGAAGTTAATTTATTCTTAAGATAAAAGTGATTTATTTTGTTTTGTTTATTACTTAAATATTTAGTCTGTTCCTATTGTGATATTAGGTAACAACTTAAATAGGTAATTTTATGTTTAATATTTAAAATAACCATAAATAATATTCAAAAGAAGAATTTAACTACTAATAACTACTAGAAATAAAAATATTTTAAGTCTTTGTAAGGCGCAATTAATATTTTTTTCTTAAATGGGGTTGTTAAGTTGATTATCGTACCAATAAGTGAAAATGTCGAAAACTGCATAACTATATGATATAAAAATATTTATTTTTCACTCAAAACATGATCCTTATATAGAAGATTCGGTTTCGGTAAAAACCAGTTTCGGTCGGACACTAGTAGCATATTTTACTTTTTTTTATTTTCTGACAAATTTACGAGTATGTAGCAAGCGAACAAAGGAACGTATAATATATGGTGCCTTATACACGTGGCCATATCTACCCTGTGGATCAGTGCGTCCCTTTCGTTTCACATTAGTTGGTGAGGGATACGAAAAGCAACACAACAATGACATACTGAATATTTTGACTAACTCCTGCGCATTAACTTTTATGAACATAGAACACTGAATTGATGTTTAGGTAGAAAGAGATAAATATATCCCACTGCGGATTCGCGGACTTCACATATGTTGGAAATATTTTTTGTTATTATTTCGAAAATAAGCAGATTTCTTCACGATGTTTTCTTTCACTGAGGAGCACTTGATAAATAAACACTTAAAATTAACAATACACCGTGATCGCACTCAGTGTGCTCGAGTACATTCAATTAAAAGCAAGCGCCCGGACAATGAGCTATCACGGCTTATAGCTCTTAGGCATTAGTTGCAAAACGGAAAAATTAACGATAATAATAGTGACCAGTTATCGTTAATTTTCAGTTAATTTATATCATTGCTTATGTAGATATTTTTCACAATAGATTGATATACAACGTATGATATGGAAAGAGATAGCAGTCTACAGAATTGCAATCTAATTATACCAATTGGTGTAATTTGAGTGCCTCAGTCAATATTTGATAATAGTGCCATTTTTCTTATTTAATTTTGTTTTATCAGAACACACTGAGTATATTTTATTTTACTTTCTGCAAACTGGTTATGCTATGCTTTCGTCATAAAATTTTAAAATTCTACCACAATTTACAATGATTAAAAATTTTATACAACCACAAATTTTTTAAGTTTTTTAGTTTTAGGCTACAGTTTTATTATGTGAACATATTAGTAATATCATTTAGTTATCAAATACCTTTAAAAATAAATCTTTTACGTTGTTACAATATAATACAGAATATTGTTAATTTACACAAAAGTCATAAAGGAAACGTTCGATCAAACGTTTTAGTTGTCTATGACAAGAGAAAGAACTCCAACATCATTCTTTTCAATAGGCGTCAAACAATAAGAATATGTGCTGCCATCTATATTTATTACAAAATTATTAAGCTGTGGGTAAAGCAGTATATTATTAATATTGTTACTTTTTTCAGAGTTTTGTAATAAAATTAAGTTAAATGTACTGATAGACACACAAATATCAATAAGCAAAATGTTATAATATTTAAAATACTGTAATATACAATCTTAGATCATTTTTTTTAAAATATGATACATTTGTTTTGTAATTACCGCCAATGAAAGATGGCATTTCAGCCATTTTGTGAACCCCGCGACAGGAAGTGAGTGATGAAGGTGCTACGCAGGCGCAAATTGACCTTTCGGTTGAAGAACCCGTCGGTCACATGTGAGTGTCGATAAATATCTTACATTTAACGTGAATACTTTTTAAATAGTCATTGATATTGTTTTCGTAAGTATTCCTTGTGGTGAATATATTTTTGTGACATCGGGCGCCTAGATATGTGTGGATTATGTGTAAATATCGAAATAGTTGTGTGGCGGCGCCGGCACGTTTGTCAAACTGCTATTTTTCTTTTCGTTATCTCGTTAATAAGAAATTAAGTACATGTTCATATTTTTCTATTAAATATTTTGCGTGTCGCGTTTTGTTGTGTAGATTAGTTCAACGTTTGTGGTAAATAATAAGTGATTTTATCGATATGAAGATATGACTTAGATATTTTTTGGAGCCACATGTTCGGAATCCACACGTCTGGTCCGACCTATCATCATCATCATAACCAGCCAGGCCTGATTTTATTTAGTTTTTCTTTTTTTTTATTCATATCTTTTATTACATACATACATATGCTATCTGACAATTTGTACAAAGGTTTTCCATGTAAAACGCTAGGTGGGGTTAGGTCGTGCAAATTTTCATCTAAAGCCTAGATCCTTTATTTTCTTTAAGCACAATTTGTCGATTCGCTATATTCTTTTAATTATCGTATGAAATAAAATTGTCTTTTATCGAGTATTGTTCTATAAATGTAAATGTTCTGCGTCCTTTGTCCTGTCTTATTTTCTTTCTGTACATAAACTTGGTCTAATTTGAAATCACATAAAGGTATCAACTACTATAGTTGTAGATTACAATCTGTCTAAAATGGCAAAAAATACTTTTAGCGGCTGTTATCACTTAATCACAAATTATAATTGTGATTAAGTGATAACAGCTTAGTTGTTACTTAATTCAATATGTTGATGTCTTCTTGCATACATTTTTATTACTTTTGAATTTTCATCTATCACCCTCACACCTTAACTGATTAACGGGTACTAACTACCATATACATCTAAATTGAAACTGTTGATGCTGTAAAAAAAAAAGGAAAAAATATACTTTTCTTAATGATAAAATTTTAATGTCATTTATTTGATAAAAAGACATCTTTAATTTATAACTTCTTATTATCTGTAGCCATATTTTAATTATGCTACTAAGCTCCATCAAGTTTTGCAAAATAACTAATTTCCCCATTATCAGCGAAAATCTGATGACAATTTCTCTATTTACATAGTTTTCACTTTTAGGCCTTTAAAAGATGTCATTTTTAAGTTCATTGACTCAGGCCGTTGACCCATGTACTAATTTGTTTCCTCAACTTTGAGTCATGAATTACAGTTTGCAATTCAAGGTTGGATTGGTTAGAAAGATTCAATAATGACTAAATAACTTGTCAATGTTATTGTTTTATAAAGAAGTTCGAGGTAGAGAATTTACTAAGAAACAAATATGAAATAAGAAAAATATTAGATTTGAATTAGTTCCGTCTTTAATCGTTATAAATTACATCTTTAAAATATCTCTGGGGATGATTTCTTAAAAATTCTTCTTCATATCATTTTATTTTGACTAATTTCCTTATTCAATTGTTTTGAGTTGCCAAATGTGGTAAATGATATTCCTCTTGCCATATTTTGGCCCCCTGGTCATTTGCTTAGCATGGTATAGGTTTCACATCAATAATCAATTTTATTTTCTGATAAAAAAGCTATATCTAATATATAAAATTCATGTCTCATGTCATGTCATGTAAGTCATGTCTCATGAGGTGTTTGTAATTGAACTCCTCTGAAACGGCTTGACCGATTTTCGTGAAATTTTGTGTGCATATCGCCCAGGGTCGACAATCAGACAACATCTATTTTTCATCCCCCTAAATGTTAAGGGTGGTCTACCCCAAGCATTTTTTTCTACTCTGCAAATAATTTATATGGCAAAACAACATTTGCTGGGTCAGCTAGTTTCTATATAAGTTAATAATGATGCTGTATATATATTATATATGGTGTTATATAAAATTAGATTTTACGAGCCCATAGAGTCGCTAATGTAGTTTATACTGCTTTTGTGCTGAGGGTACTCGAAAATTAACCACCATTTCCGACTATGCGTCTCATTACACAACTGTGTATTGGGATCACTGTACAGGAATACAAGATCATTAGTATACTTTGTCTTATTATGTGTTATTCCCTGAGCACAAATTTTTAAGTGCCATTCTTTCTTAATGTTGTGGCTTTGTTTCCAGTTTGCATAATCCAATAATTTTACTACTATTATTGTAGTATCTTCTAGTGTTTACATTAGAATAAGAGAGCTGGGTCCCACTTTGTCTAATTCTGTTTAATCATTATCTCCAGATCACTTCAAGCCGTAGCTAAACCCCCCACCAACACAATGGGCGACATTGAGGATACACACTTCGAGACCGGGGACTCGGGCGCCTCCGCCACCTTCCCGATGCAATGCTCGGCCCTTCGCAAGAACGGCTTTGTGATGCTGAAGGGCCGCCCCTGCAAGATTGTTGAAATGTCCACCTCCAAGACTGGGAAGCACGGCCACGCTAAAGTCCACTTGGTGGGCATAGATATTTTCAACGGCAAGAAGTAAGTACTATATTCATAATCATTTTAAGTTTTGCACCGCGATTTTGGTGATATTTCCCCTTACTGTTAGATAGATAGAGGTGTCAATTGAATATGGCTCAAATTCAAAAGTATTTATGCATCTGCTAGCATAATCAATTATAGTAAACACAATTTTATTAGCTAAATAGCTAGTAGTGTTTAATATGATATTGTAATATTTTAATGTAATAAATGTGCACTGTTACAGCGAATATATAGTTTTGTGTTATGGGTTATAATTTTTCTTTATCATTCAGACAGAGTTGCATAAAAAGCGTTACCAGTTTTGGCCTTCATCTAGGCGGAGCCGAAATTAAAAATTGATGTACGACTGACACATTCATGTTAATCTACATAAAATGCTCTATCGATACCGGAATGATATATTTGTGTAGAGAGAGAGAAATAAAAAAACAAAGATTTTTAAAATGGTATTCAATATGTGAATGAACAAAATTAGTCAGTTTCTTTTGATTTACATATTATAGTCAACGATAAGTCTATGGTATTACGAGCCTATAGAGTCGCGAGTGCGGTGCTTATATTGCTCTCGTGCTGAGGGTACTCGAAAATTGTACACCAGTTCCGACTATGCGTCTCAAAGTGCTATTGTTCTTTGGGATCACCGTCCAGGAGCACAAAAGTTATTACTCTGTAAATCGTTGCCGTCGAATTAACTGTTAATTACGTTACTTCTGTAGACATTCTTAGAAAGATTATTTTCTCAAAGTAAAAATCGTAAAATCTCGTTAAAATCTGTACGATTTCCAAAAGGGAACATAATAATAAAAACCATTTATAGTTTCATCATTTGTAATTCATACTTTCATCTACACAAAATTTTAAATTTATTAAATTCAGACACAATTAACTTGTGCATATTATTTATTATACAATTTTGTTATAAACTGTAATTTAAATTTAGAATATCGGACTTTGGGAATTATTGCTTTTTTCCACGCTTTTTATTAACCTTTCGCGTATACATCATCAGATTATGAAAACTACCAACCCAGTTTCAAGGGTTAACGTGACACAGCAGTTTTGAGGCAACTCTTCAAATATTTTGCATTGTCGTATGAATAGACAAAAGATCTTCGTATGGTAATGTAAAATACATTCTCAATTATACGCGTGTACATAGGTGGTTTTCGGTCATGTGAAACACATTGATGACTCCGTCGCGCAGTTGCCAAGGTATTGGCTTCGGCGTCGGGGGTCGTGGGTTCGATCCCCACACAGATCAACTATTTGTGTTACCCACAGATAGTTGTTTCGCATCTGGGTGTTTGTCCGCGTGAAATTTATGTTTCAAAACGTCCTTACAACACAGGATAGTTATCCTAAAGTAAGGGCGATGTAAAAAATAAAAATCTTAAACACGCGTGTTTCCCGGTTTTCGCTCGGTAAATCCGATCCATTTTACGATGGTAGGGCCAGTCAACAGTGTTCGCTGTTGCACGAATCCGTCCTTGTTAGTACTACGACCTCACAGAAGATCGGCGTAAAGTAGGAGTGTTCTACTTCTGCGTTTCGTCTGGTGAGTGAGGTAGCCGGGGCCGACATTGTGAATGCAATGTCGGCCCGGTGTTGCAAATGTCCACGGGCAGGCGGTTATCGCTTAACACCAGGTGAACCGCCAGCTCGTTTGCCACTTTCTCGCATAAAAGAAAAAAAATGCCCACCATTATTTAACCCGCTCGACGGATATACCTATAAAAGCGTTTCCCCCCGCCCCAGATACGAGGACATCTGCCCCTCCACCCACAACATGGACGTGCCGCACGTGAAGCGCGAGGACTACCAGCTGACGGACATCTCGGACGACGGCTACCTCACCCTGATGGCGGACAACGGAGACCTGCGCGAGGACCTCAAGATCCCCGACGGCGACCTCGGCACCCAGCTCCGCTCCGACTTCGACAGCGGCAAGGAGCTGCTGGTCGGTATCGACGGCTTTTCTTTTTTTCTTTTTTTTTTTTTTCTCGAAGTTATAATTATTTCGGCGCGTTTTCGGAATGAATAATGTCGGCAAGGAGCTGCCGGTCGGTATCGACGGCTTTTCTTTTTTTTTTTTCTTTTTCGAATATATAATTATTTCGGCGCGTTTTTGGAATGAATTATGTCGGCAAGGAGCTGTCGGCGCGTTAAGGAATAAATTATCTGTTATAACTTACGAAGAGCCGAAAAGCGACACGATTGAAATAAATAAATAAAATAAAAATAAAAGCGACACGTTGACATCGTCGACAAACTTTGCGGTATCGCATGGGCACAAAAATTAATGCATTTGAACGCAATCAATAGCTTTTTTAAGTTACACTTCTTCTGGTGCGTTTGGATAAAGTTGTGATAGAAAAGCCTTAAAACAGACACGACATTACGGTATCATGGCAAATATTTACCTATAATTCCAAGTCATTTAATTAAACCGCTATGAATTGCATTTTATTTTTTCACAAACGAATATTACTGGCATAGGGGATAACATTTTTAGTTATTTTTCTTTTGTTACACTAAAGAATTATAACTTCTCGTGCGTACATACATACTTTTTTATGTATGAAGATGCGAGCCGGCGGTACATCTGATGCTGTGATAACCGCCGCCCATGGACATTTGCAACACCAAATCGATTTAAAGTTTATCGATTCTAAAACGTCTGCCAGATTTTCTCGCCTGCCTTCTACATATTGTTAGTAGAACAAGCCCGTTTTTCCATGCAAGTCATAAATGCGTATTTTGCCATTATAGCTTTAAACATTGAGAACGCAAATTTTGAGAGCTTTTCCATCCTATCACCAAGCTAATACAAAAGAACGGTAGATGCATATGGAGTATTTTGTTAATGACTCAAAACGCACTCTAACCGAAACGTATGCATTTCCAATTTTAGCGTAAAACAAATAACAACAATTACAGCACAGCAGTTCATTTCTCTATGAACTAATATTGCTGTCCGCGAATCATTAAGTCATATTCCTTAACGTCTTTTAAAGCGGCCTTTCGATTTCAATGCCATTGTCTTCTTTGTTTGCAAAATTTAATTGTAATTTGTCACAATTAACAACGACTAAGCGTAATGTACGGCGTAATATAAAAAACAGTTTTATGCAATAACTATATATTGTTATATATTGTTGACGAAACAGTATTATCACTTAAAATTTGCGTTATTTTTTACATTAAATCCTTCGTAATATTTCTGTGTTACAAAGCTTTCCAAGTTGAATCGGCGCAAGTTTTTAAATATGTATAGCGCCAACCGATACCGAAGCTTTCTTAACCTTGGAATGACGATCAATAAATAGATTTCTTGGTGTTCTTTTGTGAAAGTACAAACAGTTTTCATATTTTCTTGGCAAAGCACACTCGCCCTATGCATTTCTCATATTATATTCGATACTGAAACTAGTTATCGATCTAAGAAGTCAACTAACATTAAAAATGCACGATAGTTGCCGTCGAGGTTGGCTAATAATATCTAAGAATTGTGGGCCATTGGAAAATCGATGGTAAGTTACTCGGTTACAGATAGAAACGTCTATTCGCGAGAACCTTTTGTTTTTACTATATAAAGGGATATTAGAAACTATTGGTTGTCTAGTATGGGGCGATGAATGCGTATTTTGCAGAATTATTGAGGCTTAATAAATTGCTATATGGTCAGTGGTTATTTATAGTGTAAGAAGAACCTTATTAAATATTCTTACTATGCAAAGCAGGTACTACCATTTGCACATAAGCTGGCAGCAACCAGACAAATTTAAAAATTAGTCTAATTCTATAAAACTCTATACATATCTAATAATTCTATTAAACCCTTTCTTTAATCGGTATACAATTGAAGCCTTACAATACGTCATTTCCTAGCAGGCTTTAGACGTTCTTTTGGAATATTCTGTCCTAAAAATACATTTTCGGCGGTGAACCCTTACCATCAGATGACCTACTTTTTTCTTCACCACACCACAGTTTTAATTTAATGGTAAACTATGTAATCAATGATCCAGTCCATAGTTGCTTTTAGTTTCAATATCGAGTATAGAGTCTCTGGCAGGCTTTTATAGTTTGTTGGTGCTAAATTCACTCGTAGAGCGATTCTCCGATTATTACCTGGGCTAGCGATTATCGTTAGCCGTATGGATTCGAAATCTTGAGTACAAAACAACATCTTGAATTTGCTAACCACCATTGACCTTATATTAATAGTACATGATATGCCGCTGTAAATATTCTTTTAAAATTATTCAATATATAGTATAATTGATAAAAAATGAAGTTAAGATTCATATCGATAAAATAATCAATTATAGTCGTTCGAAGACGGAAAATACGTGACCCAGACGAGGTGGCATAAAAGATAAATTGTTCCATTGTACAGATTATGTGTAAGAATTGTACTTTATCTCCTCCTATCTTTCTATCAATCAATAACACGTTATTATGTATTACCACAGCCCTAATTGTTAGCAATGTTTTTTTTAATTACAACACCCACTAATGTACGATTTTCTTAATTTCCAGTGCACTGTGCTCAAGTCCTGCGGTGAAGAGTGCGTCATTGCAGTCAAGGCAAACACAGCTCTCGACAAATAAACCAACTCAGCATTTATAGGGATTTAACAATCGTTCTACATATAATTTTTTTTACAATCAACAACACTTACAAAAATGTAAAACATAATATTATGTATAATTTAAAGTAAAAACATGCGGTCGGTAGCGGCTTGAGACTTGATGCTTTCCACGTCATGCTCAAACGATTTATAGTGCACGAATGCACTCGATATACTCAATTGTGGTGGTTCAACTCCATATGTGTCTAGGCTTCATACAACCCTTCCGCTGAAAATGACTTGCATAGTGTCGGCTATGTACCTATGACATGTGCAGTTATCTTTCAGTAGCGTATAAATATAAAAGCAAGATGGACCACTCGACTTCTTTAATGCATTAACTTATTGAGGGACATTTAGCGAGGGCCGCGCCGCCGCTCAGGAAACCACGTTTGTTTTGTTTTGTTTGTTCTCTTTTCGCTTGCAACGTCTACAAAACGTTGGTGTTAAGTTGCGCTGAAACCGAAAGATTGTTGATCGACATCGGTGTGTGAGAGAGAAAATTCCGTGTGGCTGGACATATGATTTCATAGTCGTATATAAATATATAATCTAATCTACGAAAAGACGGACGCAAACTTGCAAGTAATCATCAATATCCTAACGCTAAATTAAAAAAAACACATACAGAAACCGACGGTGAAAGTATAAAAAATTAAAAATAAAGGTAATTCTTGAATGTGTTGTGTGATTGTTTAGTCCTCCATTTCGCGTCGCAGCTCAGATCGCGACAGGGTGGGTATATGTTATTTATATCCATTCATGTGTAACACTTGCCATCTGTTCAAATGCTCCCATTGGAATCAATAGTATAATATTGAGACACTTCGAAAAATCGTTACCATCACCTTTAGTGAAGACTGACAACAAATTGACTCGTGTCTGAAATCCAATCTTCAGTCAAGACTGAAATAGTGCATTTGTAGATGAAATAGTATTTCATTATTTGCGTAAAAGTAGTACGAATTAGCGCATACGTCGGCCTTTCCTTGCTCTCTTTTAAGAATTTGAACAAATGAAATATGTTACACATACGGCTTGAATTGCTTTTTTCTAAGTGTTGCCCGCAGGGGGCCAGATAGGATACTTTGACTTGTATATCCTTCGATATGTGGACTCATCAGATGAACATCAGATTGTCAAAGACGATATGATATACGGAATTAATGTAAGAATGTAAGGTAAGGCCCTATAGGAGAGATATTTTTTTATGCAGTCGAAATTATTTCATCGCGAGTAGACTTACTAAAAAAATCTAGGGAAAACAGGTCGAAAATATTCCTTTTTTTTTATGTTTTAATTTAAACTCAAATGGTTTCACTGTACATTCAAAATTGCATAATCGTTATTGTTCGTAAAGTTTTATACTTAGCAGCTTGTAATCAGATTAATTTTTATAAATAAAAAAAGATAAACAACACTAAGGTATCTGTAAAAATATGCCCAGGTGTAAAATAAAATACTTTAGTCAACATTGAACAATTTTTTACTATTATCGACTACCGCAACCCCAATGCAACCTTGCATTTTCGGATATCGTTTTCGAGGTATATCACTGGCTTACGCATTAAATGTGAAATATCCTTAACCGTTTAGAATTTATTGTCGTCTGTGCACCTATAATTTATTGTGAATTAATTTATCTCGGTCACATGGTAATGCCTAAACCTTAATGACAATTTCTGCTGAGATTTGCTAATATTTATATCTTAATACCTACACGACCATGTGAGTGGGAGGCGTAAGATAATTGTAAATGCGAATTATAATTTAGATGTTAATTATTTTTTAAACGGGCGAAGGGAAAGGCGTATATCTCTGAAGGTAAACAACTGTAGCTCTGTATATACGTAATATTCGATGAACGGTTCTGCTTTTAAATTTCCATGGTCCACTTGAACGTAATTCCCGATAATGGTGTTGTGTTTCTTTGTGTATGTGCAAACATTGCCGAATTTATGAGCGACGGTCATGAATGTGAACTCAGTAATAAGTATTTAACAGTCTGTCAAATTAAATCTGTACAAAACCGACGAGCGTGACTTGTGATTCAGTTACCTATTTTTAGTTTGAAACTTTTTCCTTTATTGTTTTTGTTCGATGTTTTTTTTTTTTTTTTCTCCATTTTCAAATTTTCCACTCCTTATCCTGATAAATTATTTAAATAAATGTCTTGTTGACGCGCTGCTGTGTCGTGATAATTCTTCACGACATCGATCAGAATTACAAAAATCTCATCGTCAGAATTTCAAATACATTTCTTACCAACCTCATGGTTAAGTGATTGTTTTATAAACACTGCTAACAAATAAATAGATTATTATAACAGAAAAAGACAGAAAAGGCATGTCTGATTTTAATTTACGTTATGCTATACTTAGAAATGTAACCACGCGATATAATATGATTAACTTGTCGCGTCCAACGAATCTGTGTCGTCTTTTCCTGCGAAAATATTACTTTGTGCTGGGTCTGAATTTAATCCAATTGAGCTGAATTAAAAGCTAAGCTTCATATGTCAGACATTCCAATAAACAAAGATTACAATTATGAGAATCATAGGAAATTTAATAAAATGCGTAGGACAACGCGACAAATTCGCGTGGCAGTGTTTTGTTTTAACGTTTACTAAGTAAAAGTAACTAGATCCCCTTTGACTTTTATATCCAATGTTATTCAAAGAAAAAGTACAAATACTTTGGCAAGTGCTAATAAATAAACAGCGCCGATGGAGACGACCCTTCAGTAAAAAAACTATCTCGGGAGATGTCAATATGTTAAGATACAAACTACGAATAAATTTATCGTATTCCGTATCCAATAAAATTCAAAATTAATAGTTAGGAACATTTTATAATTTCGCACGTAATAAAGTTAGATAAATTATATCCAATACAAACTTAGTAGGTAACGCTATCATAAGTAAATACTACCACATTCGCATCACATTACAATATAGAGAAACACTAAAAAATATTACGATATCTAAGACCGAATAGAAAAATTTCTCGTTAGAAAAAAATCTGAATTCTTATCGTAAATAAAATTAGAAATTGAAATGTTTCGTGAAATGATGTGTGAAAATCGATGAGTGGTCACAAACTATAGAAATAAAATGCAAAAACGAACACGCAGAAGGTATTTTACATAAAATAATGTTTAATAAAAAAATAAATACGATCAATTGTATAAATTACAATCCCATCTGCCTTTTGCAGTCCACTGCAACATAGGCCTCCCCAAGGGCTTTATACAATCGCTTTATGAAGATTCTTCTTCATCGGAGCTACTGTCTGATGAAATTTCAACAACGACAAAAGGGTCTTCTATATCTTTCACCGTAGTCGTATAATTTCCTTTAATGTTTTCTAATAACTGTACCACGTCTTCGGGTTCTTGTTTTATTTTCACTCCATCGTTATTATTAGTACCATGATCAATCTTCGATGAAGATATTTTGACCTCGGATTTTTCATTGTTTGACTCTGTCAATTTAATATCAACATTTTTGCTAATATCTTCGATCTCATCTTTCTGCAAATTATCATTCGGCTTTTTACTATTATCGCAACATTCCGGCCGAAGATTTTGCGTCATCATCAACTTGTAAAATAAAAGGTAAGCAATAAATAGAAGAATACTGCCAAAATTAAAATCTTGTCAGCATCAATATCAGATTGATATTGTAGCTGTCGATAATAGCAGTGTGGAATCAGTACGTACCTATAGTACGAATATTGATGGCGGGGCAGCTGTGAAGTTAGGGGTAACGCGCTGCGCAGTAACGAGTTTTAGGTCTCATTCGTATCCTGCTCGGTCCTCTCGTATTGTATGCTTGTAAATATATACACACTATGGCCTATAATAATAATTATTGAAATAATTAATTCATGCATACTTTTACAAATTACCTATTTACTAACTACTCATGATAAAACGAAACGATTAACTTAACCGAGAATAAATATCAACGTGGATGTGTCACTCGTCTGTCGGACTTTGCGGATAACTTAGAACTTATGACTTATGCACCATAATTATCCTGAATACATGATTATAATATTCCAAAATTGTACTGAATAATATTTAAAATGATAATGTACTTAAAATATAGTCTTATCCATTGCATCAGAATTCCTGAATGACAAACTTGAATGCCTTCCTATTCCTCCGGGTTGACCTCGATCATTATCAAAACAATTTGCATTTTTATCGCCATAAAATCTGTAATAGAGACCATTGCAGATTTTATGGCGATAATAAACCGGGTTTTGTTGCGGTCGATCATGTATAGGGCTGTGCCGTCATGCCGTGGGCGTAGAGTGCCAACTCAATCTTAGGTGTCCTAGGAATTTCGGTCCTGAGGAACCCTCCTTCTCAACGAGACGATGTAGAAAAAAAGTATTATATGTTATCTTACTATAACGATAAAAATCTATTTTATACTTAATCTCGTTTATTTATTAATCATGTTATTTTTGTGCTACATTAAGTAACTTGTTCATATAATTATGAATTCCTACTTTTTAATTTGGTCGCTTTAAAGTAACCAAAAATAAGTTTTGGGTATACCTACTTATTGTTTACATTTCGCAAACTTGATTAATAAATAGGTAAAAAGGAATAAGCTAAGTATTCATTTTTAACAGTTTTACTAACAAAAAGAAAGTGGTGTGGCTTATATATCTGGATTAACCGCCAAACGGATTAAACGAAAGATCGCGAGATTTGACCTGTTGAAATGCCACAGCCATGATCTTACTATAATATACCATTTTGTGAACTGTTACATTTCATATACTAAAAAGTATGTTATTTTTATTATATCCCTACTTTGTTAAATTGTTGACATGGAATCGTTTTCATTGTTTCTTTGAGAGTGATTTATAATGCCTGGCTACACTATCGCATTGGGTCAGCCAGTAATGATAGTTGTGTGCGTGTTACATACATAAATAAATAAATGAATAACTGTATGAATATGAATGAATAACTGTAAACAATCAAGAGATTATTATAAAAATTCAGCAGCTGGCAACAACGCCGTACAGTAACAGCGTTGTTGGAATGAGAGAGATGTACCTATGTATATCGTGACAAATTAATAGCGATCGGTAAGCATCCTGAAAACTTCATTCGATTGCGCTGTAGTCAATTTATAGGTCTCTACGGGGCAACAAGTGCGGGCGGCGGGGAATATTGACTGCGCTAGACGAAGCGATTAATTGCACCTAAGTGGACATGCGCGAACTTTTCCTGTCTGTCTGAACCCAACAATGCCTTTTTTTCACATGTTTGCCGGTGCCTATGCCCTATACCGCCGCCATTACTCGCAAAATGTATTCATTGTGTTATTAAGAAATTTAATAACATTTCACTAATAAAATATTGTCTTGGTAAAATAATGTTATAATAATAACAAATATTTCAGGACACATTTTTACCCAACGTTCTTTAGTCCCAAACTAAGCAACGCTTGTACTATGGATACTAGAGATAACTGATAAACATACTTAAAGTACTTATACTTTTCTTTTATAATTGAATAGATATATAAACACCCAACCACTAGAAAAACATCGCTCATCACACAATATTTTTCCAGTAGTGGGGTTCGAACCCACACCCTCTGGCGCGCGAATATTTGTGACCTTTGTCAAACTTATTTATGTCAATTTCAACAATAGAGAAACAAAAAGATAATTCTGTTTAAACCAAATATGAAAAAAAAATGAAGAATCTTCATATACATTATGAATGAATCTTTAGCGATAGGTCTACAATTGGTTAAATTACTATTTGCGTGAGGCTAGATACAGTTACTCATGATAAGCTTTTTTTTATGTGAAAGATAGCAAGCGAGCTGCCGGTTCACCTGATGTTAAGTAATAATCGCCGCCCATGGACATTTCCTATACCCGTAGGGTTGCAAACGTGTTGCCACCTTATAATAAAGTGGGCCCCGGTTACCTTAACCCGACGAAACGCAGAAATTTGACACTTCCACTTCACGCGGGTGTTCTGTGAGGTCGTGGTACTTACCCGGACGGACCTGCCCATTCGTGCAACAGCCGAAGCTGTTGCGTGGCCCCAACCATGCAGTAAGCTGCGAGCTTACTACATGGTTGGCATGATTGTCTAATAAATGACTAGCCAAATTACCAGCTAAAAAACAAACCTTTTTTTATGTAGATTTCATAGAACCACTAAAGTATTTGATGACCGCAAAGAGACGCTGATTTGGTCTTGCTCGATCTACTCGAGTCTGGACATGCACATGAGGGCGCCCGTACAAGATTTTACTGGGCACACTGTACTACCTACCACCTGCTCCCACGTTGACGAAGACTCTGGATACTAAGGTCGTGGGAAGAGTGGTTGATACGGTCTCCCCTGTGATCCACGAAAGCCCTGAGTTCCACACCTTAACATCAGACATGACCGAATGGTGTAGATGTCATTTACTATGCAGATAACACTCGCCAAGCTAGGATGAATAAAATCAACGGACTGTGTCCCCAATAGTGCCTCAACAGAGAATGAAGCTGTTCGAATCGTTGGTGACGTGCAGATTCAGGTTGTGACCAGTGACGATGTCTTGGTCTCACCTTGGACAGTAGCTCAGGCTTCAAGGATCATTTCAATCACCTGGCTTCCTGAATCGAGAGGGCGGTCGGTGCTTCGCACAAACTGCTGCCTAGCTTCGGTGGCCCAAGGGAAGGAGGCCGCCGCATCCATGTGGAGGTCATATGAATCAATGGGTTTCTATGGTATGCCCGTATGGATATTTTTGATTCTATACATCGATATTGTTAGCTGATATAAATATTTGGATCCCATACAGGGAGGCTTTAGATGTATCCACTTTTTTAATGAAATTCTAGACATAAATAATGTTACATAAAAGATGATAAATATTTTAAATCACTAGTAAGTAAGCAATTACATTCATTTGAGCTTATCTCAAAAAGTGCGTGATTTATACGCAACTCATTTATTTTACGCGCGATCATTCATAACTAACACGCACACAATTTCGTTTGTGTGCGCGAACAGTAAAATTGCGGTATTTATGAATGACTATTGCGTTGTCAAAAAGTTCTGTTTTTTAGGGAATAGAATGTTAATTTTTAAAGAAAAAAAAAGTTTGTTTTTATTTCAATAAACGATTATACTACCGAGTCTGAACTGAACCTCCTGTGTAAATTTGGGCACCTTTAAAAGTCTCTAGTAGCAAAATATTCAAATTCGAAAATCATATCAAAAGTTTTTTTTTTCAAAATTGAATTCGGAACAGAGTCCGTAAGTGTCAAATATTTAAGAACGTATCTAAGCGCTTCAATTTTAGGTATTGAGTTGCACTACTACACACACAGCGATAAGCGCGAAGCTGCGAATTTTTTAGTAATATGACACAACTTGGTAATTTTATTAAATTTTTAGTCATTTATTTTTTAACCTTTCATTCATTTGTTTTCAACCTAAAGTGCATGTGAAAGTAGATACCAGTAATTAAATTTCATATGACATTGATTGGTTGGTAAGATAGTACTTGCAAAAAAACCTAGTTATTTATAAGTTGCGCGAGGTTTTTGTAAACAAAATATAATCAAAAGCACAAGCTTATTTTATAAAATAAATGTATACGTCACCTGTAGTAGGTATTTTCCTCATACAAATATACAAAAAAATTACATCCAGACATTCCTTACGAATATTAATATTTTTGCACGTGTGTATATTTGTTTCATATTACCTGTGTAATTAATTTTACATAGAAATAAAACTACTGCAAGTGGTCTTAAACTTCTACTCATATATTACTTCCAAAGAGCAATTTTTAAAGAGCACTTTCAAGCCACTCCATAAAGTCTGAATGCAACATAACTAATAAACTAAGCCAAAATTCGATACACAGCTCTACTCGTCTATCCCTTCTCGAAGAACACCTTCAGGTTACTCCATAGTAAACCCGAAAGTAAGATCTCAACATAACATAAGGAGCCTAAACTCTGCACACCTAGCTACTCGTCTATTGGTTCCAGTAGCAGCCCTCGAAGTACAACTCATGGTAACTCTACTCTATCAAGACTGACATGAAATATGAAATATGAATTTTTATTCCCTACATACTTATATCAAAAATATAAGAAACTATGAATTACTTCTTATCTAGTTTATCCATAATCCGTACAGAATGTGCGAAGTGTTAAATTTGTTATGTTAAATATTTTGTATTGGTATAGCGATCTTTTTTAAAACTAGCTGCTACTTACAAGCGACAATGTCTAATCGTGACGGTCGCGGAGCGCAGGCTAATCTATTATTGGACTCAGGCGAGGCTTACAAAAACATCGTAATGTAGATAATATTATAACCACATACTCATAAAACTAGAGGTTAAAACACTTGATAAAATTACTTCAAATGTAAGATTTAAACTTAAGGTAAACAGGATGAATAGAAAAACTTTTTATAAAAAATGTTTTTTTAATTCTCTTAATTTTTAAGATCTTATTTTGAAATAAAAATTTGAAAATCGTTGAAGCCTTTCATTAGTCTTTGATTAGTGAACATAAAAACACAAATCGAAAATAAATGTGAACGCGTAAAGCGCAAACTAAACAAAAATAATGTTTTACACATTTATACAGTTATACACGACAATAAAAACATCCTTATTCTTCATCGCAACTGCTGTCCGATGAAATCTCAATGACGAGAAACGGATCTTCAATATCTTTGACGGTAGTCGTATAATTCCCTTCAAACCGTTCTAGTTCCTGTACGACATCGACCGCTTCACTTTTCACCGACACTATTTTGATGTTATAATTAATGTCTTCTGCAGAATTTTCAACGATTTCGTCACTCTTCAATTCTGTCAATTCAATAGCACTCCCTGTGTTAACATTATCGATAATATCACAATCTTGTTGAAAACTGCCATTCGCATTTTCATTTATTTTACAGCGTTTCCGGTGACAGTTTTGTATCATGGTGAACCTAAAATTCAAAATTGCCAATAAACATACCACCAGAATTATCAACTCATCATCATTAGTAGTCGGCATCATCATATTTGTATATTCGAGTTTACTGATTGATATAACCCACAAATTAAAAATGCACGGGGACGCCATTTTGGTGCCGTCAGGCAACAGTCAGCTAGAAGAGAGAGTTGACGTTTATTTATTAACATGATTCACATGTTGTGACGACCCCGCCTAGAAGGGATAAGGGCAGGAGAATGACGGTGAAGGAAAAAATATTGTTATTTAATTAAAATAACTAAGACAAACCTATCCAGAATTTCGGCTTCTTTTTTTATGGCGTTACGACGGTTTGCCTGCAACTTTGCTTCGAGTTCTGGATCATTTTCGGCGGGGTCATCATCAAAATGTTCCCTATTCACACTGCTCATCAGATGGCGCCACTCGCGTTTCTGCCTTCGCTGCTGTAGGGCGCGACCGCATTGGGTAAATAGCGAGGTGGCTGACGACAAATTAAGTTGAATATAAAAAATAAGTGTCATGTATGACAAAAAAAAGGCCAATTTTCAAAAGGTCAACGCATCTGCAACCCTCGGGTGTAGCAGATGTCCATGGGCGGCGGTATTCACTTAACATCGGATGAACCGCCTGCTCGCTTGGCAATTTTTCACATTAAAAAAAAGGAAAATAATGTTTTATTTCCTAGAGGTACGAGCCAGCGACTATAGATTGTTAGTAATTACTGAAGCCCGCGGGGGAAAAGCCCGGCAATGGCCAACACCAGGAGAATTGCAAATGCCAAACTCGTCGGTTTTTTAAGAATAAAAAAATATTGAATCGTTCGCGCACTCGGTGAAGGCTCGTCAGTGCTTAGTCCTAGGGTTGCCACCGTCAAGTGAGTCTATAAGTGAGCCTACAAAATGTACTAAGTATGCTTTTTTTTTCTAAAACGGATCAAATAAGAGTCAGATTTAAGTATTAGACAACACATTACTGTAAAGTTTCATTAAAATTGGTTCTGCAGTTTAAGAGTAAAAGAGTCGCAAACATCCACCTATCCTCACAAACTTTCGTATAATATAAGTAGGATATATTGTGGGTTAAAAACCAGAGTAGAAGTCCTGAGGGACAAAAGAGCAACCTCATTGATAATAATTTTGTAAGAAGCTTACAGTGGTCCAATAGCTATATCAGCAGATAACAACAATGATTTGTAAGAGCTGTGTCGTTCTGGAGTTTATTCCTTTGACATATCAAGATTTTCACAACCATTCAACCACAAATAATTATTTTTAACTAACTGACCCGGCAAACATTGTTTTGCCATATAAATTATTTCTAGAGGAATCGGAACGCACGTGCAAAGACAGGCACAGTTTATGAGGAAAAATAAAATTTTATGTAAATTTTTCCTTAATTTCGCATCGTTTAAACCTTCCCTAGACTGCCACAAATATTTCAAAACCAAAATTAGCCAAATCGGTCCAACCGTTCTCGAGTTTTAGCGAGACTAACGAACAGCAATTCATTTTTATACAGGGAGGCTTTTCCAGTTTTTTAAATAAAATTTTAGACATAAATAGTGAATTATAAAAATTTTAAAACCACTCGTAACTAATTAATTACATACATTTGAACTTATCTCAAAAAGTGCGAGATTTATACGCAACTTGTTTATTTTACTCGCGATCATTCATAACTAACACGCACACAAGTTCGTTCGTTTCAAAAGTATATGACGCATAAATGTAGACACCTATCTATCTGCATTGTGTCACGCAGCAACTAAAGTTTGTTACTACACGCGTAGATCATCATGGCACAAGTTTATGATTCCAATTTTCCTTCATACTTAGAACGGGTTTAGGATCGTCATAATACTAACATACTATTATTATTTTAAAATCACACACTTTTTTTTTGGGCTGGATGAGCCACTGTTGGCCTTAGGGGCCTTCACAGTTCCGACGGGCTTGAGGTGGCCTGGCGCACGGGACGCCTAGCCCGAACCTCGGCGTATTATTATTACGCGTTATGGTGACTAAGCTCGAGGGCTCCCGAGGGAGCCTCGGCTCGGGCCGTCACGCTATTATTATCACCGGTTTGGGAGGCCGCCAAGCTCTTAGGGCGCTTTGGCGGGCGCTCCATGGAGTGATCAGGCTCCAGGGTCCACGTTTTGCATTCCGATTCGAGGGTGCCCGAGAGGGCCGGTCCTCGGCTCAATCGGTAGCTATTATCTGACTGGAATCACACACTATTGTTCGTATTTATTATGGCGTATTTAAAAAAGTGGAATCAACTGTTTACAACAATTAAACTTACTGATATTTTAACAATTGTTCAAAATGGAGTCCAATTCTCTCAATACAAAGCTGAGCACGTTTTCTCAAACTATTCCTTAACATTACTTCTGTCTGAGCATTGTATACGCCGGTGTAGTAAATTGTCCAAAATCTAATAATCTTTGGTTGGCTGCCAAAATCGTGCTTCGATTATGTACACTTGAGTTCATTTTCTGTCTTTTTAAACTCGATAAAGAGTCACTTTCATAAAGTCTTTGCGCCAGGGATCAAAATACCGGTAAAATACAGTAACGTTATCTGGGCCAGTGTGAGATAACGTTATTTTTAAGAGAAGCGTTACTAAAAACGATATTGTGGAAAGCTTTACAGGCGCATAACGTTATAATTGCGTTACGTTACATTCGTAAATTAAAAGTTTCTAAAATATTGTTATAAAAATAATAACGTTATTATTTATTGTTCTATGCCATCTCTTTTACTCAAAACCGTTTACTCTTTTTTTTGCGTATTTTCTGTCTCTTTTATCTTATGTTCTGTCGCGCTTATATTGTGGTCGTCGGTATAGCAATTCAACTAATAGAAAATTTTGCTTAAGTTACTAGGAATATGAGAGGTAAAGGTAGTATTATTTCTTTTGCGGGCATCTTTCTTCGCTATCTACTTAGTACCATCGCTCGCGTTCACTTAGCGTTTTCACCTAGGGACTTTTTTGAGATAGTACATAAAAACATAATTTAAGTGCTAATGATAAAATTATGTGCAGGTACAAAGTAGTTAATTGTCAATTTTTAAATGTTATGTTATGTTAAATGCTTTCTTTTAATATGGTTTTATGCATTATAAAGTTAATAATTCTGATTCGATTTTTTGTTGCATTTAAAGTCGCATGTAGCACATTTTTAATATACAATACAAGGTACAATTAATATCATCGACCTTTTATACTAAATGAAATCTTTAATACTATATATAAAATTCTTTAATACTGAAAAAAGTTTCGACTAACTTGCGTTGCACTAAGTGCAACACGCGCCACTCCGAATTTTATACTAATTTACTTCTAATTAATGAATCGATACGTCGAAAGAACGAAAAAACTGATATAAAAAGAAAACATCTTAAAAACGGTCCACCCATTAAAACTAATCAAACTCGACGTGGTTGTGTCGCTTAATGACTGAGTCCCTATGGGCATCTTCCAGCTCCATCATCAAACCCTGGTTACCATCAAGTACCAAAGTTCTCGTCAAGACGAAGCCAACGAGCCGAGACTCGATGGGGTTGCGTCGTTCCATTACAGAGTCCCTATGGCCACCTTCCAGCTCCATCATCAGATCAGTACCATGTCATCATAATATTGCATTGTCACGCGATTTACACATGTATGCAAAATTTCAGCTCAATCGGTACCTAACCGGGAAGTGGATCAAATTTAATTTGCAAGAATTGATGACAAACATCGCTACAGGTGAAACTAAATGAAAGCTTGTTAAATAAAATTCGTCGTAAGGGTTTACAAATGTTTAGGCATCGTTTTAAAACGTTGCCGTGCTGTGCGGGGAACCCCCATCCGAGCTAACAGTTGGATCCCCGCTCATAAGACGCGCGCTTTAGAAATAAATAAGTTTGGCAACGTTGCGTATTTATCGTTATAATAACGTTAATAACGTTAATTTCTCTGTAATAATTTCGTTCTGTTACTCGTATAACGTTATACAAAAAAATTGAAAAAGAAATGTTTTCTGAGGTACCGATACCATTATAACGTTATGATATCGTTATAAATTTCGTTATGCATAACGTTTTAAGTCCCTGCTTTGCGCACCAAGTAAACTTTCCAACTTAAACATCTCGTAATACTCGCGGTTCTAATAACTGCGTTGTTGTTTCGACATCGTTAGAGATAAGCAAATCTAAAAATAGCACGCGCGACCTTAATTAGGTCACGGTCAAATTGAACTTAACGAAATGGAGGGTGGAGGGGAAGAGTAAGAAGTTTTATGACGCAACGCTTCGAATGCCGCCGCCGTGCCGGCATGGGTCGTCTCCGATTTATCGAGAGCGTTTAGTTTTGTGTGCGTGCACAGTAAAATTTTGGTATTTATGAATGACTATCGCATTGTCAACAGGTTCTGATTTTAGGGAATAGAATGGCAATTTTTATAATAATGCTTATAATAATAATACTTAATACTTTATTATTAGTATAAATCAGATATCTATCTATATAGATTTTGCCATAAAAGAACTATAAGATTACAGTACGTAAATTTGAGTGGTTTTTGGCTCTCTAGTGGAGTTACCATTTTGCCCTTACACTACTCAAGTTCTTAACCCACAATATGCCTATATAAATATGTTTGTAAACTTACCCTCCCTCATTATTTGCTGTGTACTCCAGCCAAGTTCATCAACTGAATTTGAAGTGACTACACACTGTACCACATCATTGAAATCAGGAAAAGGTGGTTCGCCATCACTTCCTATTCTATTATTTAAAAAGCTCTCAAGTCTCTGGACAGGACCTGGTGGATGACCATCATTAACCTTTAATCGTACTTCATGACGCTTGACTAAAGTCCTCTCCATTCCAGTGAGTTCACATAATTTTCTATAAAGCTCCACTATATTTGCTTTGTACCTGAAATGTTTTAATAATAACTTCGCACAGATCTTATTCGTTTCAAATGTTTATTTACATTGAACACAAAGAAAAATATATTCAAATAATTTTTTTTGTGTTTAAGTTAAATGGCCGATGAATATTTGTATGTATATACAATATAGGATACATGTTATCCTTTCAATTACATCATCAAAAACCAACAAAACCTAGTTACTTACTTTTCACTTATTATATATGGTGATGTATGATTATCAGCATTAACTTCTTGTTTGTCTAAGCGGGCAATTTTTTCTTTATACATTGCTATTTTTTTTTTAATTTTTAATATCTTTTCCACCTCCCTTTGTCTTCTGTCTATAAAAACTTCAGCACATTTTGGTACCAAAAAGTTATTGTCCTCATCCAAAAGTGAATAAATTGCTTCACTATTATTTACATCATTTCCAACTGAATTACTTAACATATCACTACTCATTTCACCACAGTTATTTTCCTTTTCTGAATTTTTTCCATCATCAACTAATATAACATCACAATTATAATTTTCCACATCTATAACTGAAGGATTCTCATTGGCCAAATCAATGGTAACTACTTTCTGTTTGTCATTTATGTGATCATTAGTGTCGGTCTTTCTTTTTGTATACACAATAGAATGCTTATCTGAAATGTTTTTCTCAGTATTATGTAATACCTTAATACTGAAGGTTTACTGTATGTAAGAATGACTTACCTCTTAGATTTGTTTCTAATGTCACAAAATTTACTTTTTTCCTCACTTTATGTAACTTCATAGTTTCATATAGATCTTTGATATGGGTGAATTTGTGAGTAGGATCATTTTTTAATAATTTTAATGTTCTACTTAAGACTTTTTCAAAGCTTTTTGATGTTTTATAATGTTCATCCAACTGCTTATATGCTGGTTTTACTATTTTATTGAAAACTCTAGTTCCTGTTGAATTATCTAAATGGGCACATTGTGCAACAAATTGAGTATACAATTCATTTATGTCAGCCCATATCAAATCTGCTTTACTGTTGTTTTCTTCATCAACTAATATGACATCATCAAGCTGAAATGCAACATTAAAGTAATTCATTTTTAAAATCATTTAGCACTAAAAAGACAATAAAATAAAATATATATAAAACTGCAATCAGAACAAAGTAAAACATAATTAAATATTGTAATTGCTTACAACAAAGCCATGCATGTTTTTTTTGTCCATATCCGAAAAAATGACAAAGAAAAATATGCGGCAAAATTTAGATTTTAAGGAAATACGTTTTTAAATCGATAATTTTCAACTTATCCTTAAAATTAAATGATTACCCGCGTACAATTTGCATATTTACATTTTTCTTTTTTTTACAAAAAATCGCCCAAACAAACTATTTATTATTATATTTTTCTTAACGTTATTTAATAATGGCTTTATTAACAAAATGTTTTAGATTATTCTATATCTTAATATCTAAAGGCAATAACATTTGATGTAAATGACACATAACCAACAAATCATTATATAAACTTGAAGTCCTATTAATGAACGAAAATAACATTAACCAAATCTTCGTTAATAAAGTAATACTTACAGAGTCATCAACATCTATAACTGTGGTAACTTTACTCATGATTAATTATGAAAATGAGAAATTTTAACAAGTTCACAAACACAAAATTAGAGATGAAACCACAGACAAACTACTAAGCAGTAAGCAAAGAGTACTTTTGTATACTGAAAGCTACTAAGTACTAATACTGCTACTAAGTACTAAATACTAATTTAGTATTAGTATTTAGTACTTAGTAGCAGTATTTAGGGATGTGAAAAAATACTCGATTTTCATATTAATCGATTATCTTCTTATAATATATCTTCAATAATAATAATCGATTGTATCAATTTGACTTTTTAAACGAGTTTTGTAAACAGCCATCTGTATATATCCTGTATACATACAGATTTTTTACAAGAAGTACATACTTTGACATAATATAAATTGAACATTCCATAATTACAAAAAAATATTAATGTTTTATTATGACAAGAAATAACCGGAAAAATATGAATTCTAACATTGTTTGTTTATCCCGTTAAGAGAGGTCACACTACTAATGCGTTCAGCGAACAGTTTTTAGTGCTCGTAAATAGGTTATGGTATTGAGACGGAATTTCTAATAGGGTGTCCATAATGTTTGAAATAAATTAAAAATAATCTTTGAACAAAAAAATGAGGTCATTATGTACCAGATTCATATTTAGAATCAAATTCTGCATATGCTCTGTTATATACCCTTTATATGTAAACGGCTTTCGTAACTTTTTGACAGATTTGAGTCAAATAAAATGTTAAACGGGATTGAATATTTGTGGCAAATTTATTTTAGTTTTTTTTGATTGTTCAAATTTCAGATACAGTTACTTTGTATTTTTGTTATGAAACCAGAAGGTTGTTGTTTAGGTTAGTTTTTACACTACTCATTTTATTTGATTTTGATTCTGGTAAACTGTGAACTAACTACTAATCTTTTAGTTGTATTGTTGTACAGGATTTTTAAATAATAGAATATAAAGAAATAAAAAACAGTAAAGTAAAGTACAGTAACAGCCTATACATATCCCACTGCTGGGCAAAGGCCTCCTCTATATAGAGGGTATCAGCGCATAGTCCACCACGCGGCCCCACTGCGGATTGGCGGACTTCAGATATCTTCGAAATATTTTTTTTTAATTATTATTTAAAAAATATGCATGTTTTCTCACGATGTTTTTCTTCACCGCGGAGCACGTGATAAGTCAGCACTTAAGAACTTCATTGGTGCCGGCACCGGGGATCGTACTCAGGTTGCTGGAGTATATTGAATTAAAGGCAAGCGCCCGGACACTGAGCTATCGCGGCTCAATTGAATATAATCGGTTATTATTTCTTCTGATTATTTTTTTTTCCAAAATCGATTAATATAGAAAAGAGAAAAAATAATTTTAATTTATAAAACGATTTTTAATTAATCGATTTTTTTTCTGAATGTCACATCCGTAAGATGATATTACGAAAGTACGCATGTGTAAAACTTGTGTACATGTGCAAAACTTATACTAGGGATATTTTTGGCCGATACATTTAGATCCGATATATCGATATAAAAAATTGAACATCGAAATCGTATCAAAAACGATATTTTTATTCAAATTGATTCAAACCCGTAAAAGATAAAAATGAACGGGGAAAAAAACTGGTCTAGTATTGTCGCGGAAGCAGAGTTGCATTTTGTACTATAATTATGGTATTTACACTACAATTTGATGCTTCGTACTTTATAATATCCATATCTTAGGTACAACATGGTATAGAGGTACAAATAATTAATATTGAACTACACATTATTGTTAAATTATAAATAGCATGCAAAATATAAATGGCTTCAACTAAAGTTCCTTTAATAAAATATGTAAATAAAGTTATTATAATTATAATTAAATGCTCAGTAATAATATAATATGGAGTTTTCAATTAAAAAATATTTGACGCCATAAAAATTATTATCATTTAACCACATACTTAACCACCAAGTAACTTCTTTAAATTGTCGTTCAGAATTTTCATGTCAATCAAACAACTGTTACTAAATCCTGCGGGTTTCTTTTTGACCTATTACTAACTTCGTTTTAAACAATACTTTATTTTTTTACAAAGTTACATGTTTTTAATGAGTTATTTTTTTGATTCGATTCAGGGCTAAAGAAACTGATTTATCTTACTAAATAAGCTGTTTATTTTTTTTCCAATGACTGTCTTGATAAATAACATACCTAGAAATTTAGATTAATAAAAGAAATTTGATTAAAATTAATAAATAATAAACGTTTAGTTAAAATTTCACATTCATTTAAATAATGAGAATTTGGTATGAAAATGACTACTACATAATATTGAATCAGACAGAACAAAATACATTATTTTATTATTATTCAAATTTGACCGACATCAATTTCGACTTTCGGCATCCCTAGCCCTAACTTATTCTAAACTAGAAATGTCGAAAAATTATCTCTATTTGTGATTTTATATATTGATTATCGACATAACTGACTGTTTATTTTGATCCGATTGTTTGATACAAAATATTCACTATCAAAAATTCTAACCCGGCACGGAGTCCAGCCTGGCGGAAGCAGCGCGGATCTCTCGTTGCCTACCGTGGTTCGTGGCTGGTGGGCAGCGAGAGGTCATGGGGTGCCGTCCTTGCATTCTGCGAGGGCATTATCACCCAGAAGGAGGCCGCAGAGAGGAAAAGGGAGGCAACTGGCACCCTGGAAATCCACTGCCGGAGACCAGGGCGTAGGAGGCTGGCCTACGCGCAACCTTCCCCCCTGATAGCAAGCCCCGGGGCAGCAGATGTGGGACTAACTGCTGCCCCGCGGAGGGCTTGAGAGGGGTGCCGTGTTCATTGCACCTACACGGCACCATTTGGCTGGCCCAGGTATCCAAATACCCGGAGAGAGGAGGCCTGAGAAGACCACAGTCGCGCCGGGGTTCGTGGAAGATTGCGCTTTCGTGTCCCCGTGTCCCCGGCAAAAGCGACAGCGCAGGTGCAACGTGGATTTTTAGTGGGTACCCCGTAACTCCCACATACCCCTGCTAGCTACCCACAAGGCGGCGGGGGATCCATAAAAGATTTTCCCACGTAAACAAAAAAAAAGGGTTGGCGTTCGCGCAAAATATGTTGATATATTTGATTAAATATGTCGATATTTTGGTCTGATATATCGATATAAAATTTAACATCGATCAAACACGGTACTTTTATTGATAAATAATTAATGATTAACATAGCTTAATTTTATTAAGATTTCTCATCCATTAAAATAAATTTCTACTTCATAACTCATTATCCTATGGAGTTAATAGGTATTTTTTTTAAAAGGCAAAAATGTAAGTACAATCACCACATAGTATAAAACAAAGTCGTCTCGCTGTCTGTCTGTGTATGTATGCTTAGATTTTTAATACTACACAACGGATCTTGATGCGGTTTTTTTTACTAGATAGAGTGACTCAAGAGGAAGGTTTATATGTATAACACATGGCACCCGTTCGAAGCCGGGGCACGTCGCTAGTATGAAATAAATCAGAGTTTCAGATAAATATATCTTTATTAGAGAGGCCAATTCAACACTATTGTAAACTGGAAGTAAACATTAAAAACACGAATCTCCCTTAATATTGTTAGCAATAAACAAATTGCAATAATAAAACTGGCTAATAATTGTTATAGAATTAGTACTGACAAATATTTTTATACTGAATTTCTTACGTTAGATATAACCTTAATTTAAAAATACAATATCCTCTAATTTACAATAAAAAAAAAACTAAGCGATAAAATGCAATTGCAATGAGATGGACAATATTAAACATAAATAAAAGTGTACCATGTATCTCTAATATACAGATAATAAAACCAAATACAGCTTCACAATCTTTTCACTTATCTTATTCATTAAAATCATTCCGAAATAGCATGAACCATTTGTTACAAAGCACCAAAGATGATGCATTAAACACCGAAGTAATGTATTTACTTAATTTTTAATAATTTCCCAAAGTTTTTTTTCAATTTCGGTACCATGGCTACATTAATATTTTAATGTTCTGGTGATGCTAATACTCATCTAATATCTCCATCTCATCTGAAAAATATTAAAGTCTAATTTAACATGTTGATTAGTTATTGTGGTAATGATTAACCCAGTAATGGTGTAGTTACAGACAGAGTTTACAGGCTTTGACACTGGGGGTTGTGAGTTTGATTACAACACAAGACATACGCGGCGAATGTCTTTTCGTCCATTTCTTCAGGTAACTGTCATTTACATCACAAACTTTGTGAAAAAAATGAGTACTTTATAATTCATTAATTTATACTATACCTGTGTGCCATGACAACTCGGCTCAGTCAGCGCGTACTACGTTACGGCGCTGTAGCGCCAGAGCGAGGTCGTGTTGGAGAGCCGCAGTCTTCCGCGCCACATCCGCGGGCACCACCGAACGCAGACCATTGACAATGTCTTTTGTTTTGCCTGTCATACCAAAAAATTTTGATATGAAACAAATTGGAGCGTAAGATGTTGTGTACTTAATGGGATGAGATTTATGGAGTTCATTGGGCGAAGTTTTAACTTTCACTTATAAAACTTTAAAATGACAAGGGACTGACGGATAAATGAAATCATAGACACAATGGCATTATCACTTGACATTTATCATAAAAATTTGCTCCATATTTTTCTTTTTATGTGAAAAGTTGACAAGCGAGCAGGCAGTTCACCTGATGTTAAGTAAATAATACCGCCGCTCATGGACTACTGCTACACCCGAGTGGTTACAGATACGTTGACAACCTTTTGAAACTCTGGCCACCTCACTCACTAGACGAAACACGAAAGTATTATACTTCCACTTTACGCCAGTCTTCTATGAGGTTGTGGTACTTACCCGGACGAGCCTGCACATTCGTGCTACAGCCGAGACTGCTACGTGGCCCTACCATATTAATCAACAGAGATTGTACACTGAAACTTTGCCATCCAAATAGTCAGTTGTTTCTTATTTTTAATTTTGCTTATTTTAACAGCATTTTAAGTTAATTCCAATTAGCTCTATTACAATATCTTAAAAGAATATTCAAGCGGGAGAGACTGAAAGAATATACCAAAGTAGATATCATTTAGTGTATTCCTGATCTTGTTCTCCATGTCTTCAACCATGCGCCCAATATTTGCAATGTGTGGTGTTACATCGCTGACTGAAGAATCTTGTTCTGCCTGAAAAATAACATTTTTAAAGGCTAGTATATTTACAACACAACTGTTATTATAATGCAAAAATTCTCACTTAAATAAACATAAATTAATAGATTAACAGTTTGTTTAGTGTTCAATTTACAATTCCATATGTATGTCATGACTCATTCAATCTAAAATTGATTTCATTGGGATATTTACTATCTAATTTTAATTTAACTTCTAATGTCAGAATGCAATGGAAATAAATGTGTATCTCTATTCTTTTGTGTCAACCTGTTATTTCCATGTGGTATAACAGGATGATTGTCACGAAAAAAGACTATTGTGCCCATAGTAACATTTATGTGAGTTTCAATTTCTTTAAATAAAATTATATACTACATATGCATAGTTTATTAGTTGAATGATGTACAGTAAAATTTTATACATAGTACATATATATAAATAGTGATTTATACAGTGTGTCGTTATAACGGCGACAATAAATGAACACACATGTAGAGGATAACTTTTTAAAATTGTATTAAGCATTTACATTCTTTAAACAACAACATTTATCGAGTTATTAAATCTTGCAAAACAAACATTTTTAGAACATCCTTACATATAAAACTGCGAACATATAAAAAGCGTAACATAAAGTTCATTTGTAAAGGTCACAAAGCATATGAATAGGTTGAATGAATTTAAAAGAGATAAAACATACTATTAGAAGGAGAGACTTGTAATGCGATGTTGTGGCAACAAATAAAAACGTCTCTGAATGTATGAATCAGTCAGTTCTCGTTGTATAGGATGTTACAAATTTTGTTTCTTTTTTATTTAATTAGTTTCTTTGAAAAATATATATTTTATTAATTATGGATTATGATTAAAATAATTATGATTAACGCTTTATATTTTTTTTAGATTATTGGCAAGTAGTGTTAGACTTGTATTCATTTATTATCGCGGATGTAACGACACACTGTATATGACACTGTAACATAACTATTAGTAAACAACACTACCTATTATAAGTAGTACTTATAATAGTTATATTAAATATTAGTTTATATCTTTTAGGCAACACATATGAAACACAAGTGAAACATGTCAATACCGGAATGGCATCAGCCATTTTTGTGAAAAAACAATTATTTGGGTGACACAATTGTCCAATGTGGGATTTGACTCCACCTGCAGTGCCTAAACCATAATAGTTTAACTACTGCATCACCAAGGTGCCATAGCTTAGATATGTAAAAAAGATTCTATACCTGTCTGGTCAAACTACCTCCTAAGTTCATAGTGCCACTGCCTTCTTTGTTAGTTTGTAACCACAACATTGCTGTAGAGGTTAATTTATAATGGGCATTGCGCCCTGAACTTTTTTCCACAACTTCCACAACATGAATAGAATCCCAGCAACCCTTGATCTTCTGAGAACCATCACCAGCTTTTTTTATAAGAATCACACCTGAAATGTAGTTAATTAGGCAAAATAAACAGTTGCTTCTCAAAATGAAAAATGTTAAAGGTTGAAACACTAAGACTTGCATTATTATTCTCAGTTGGCCAACACAAAAATAATACAGTTTATCTCTATTAACTATAAAATTCATTAAAAGTTAGTCATTTAAGTGGAATACAACTTAAAAAGATAAAAACATAAGATAACTATCAAAAATTCATGAAGTAACTTATGTTTAAATTTTCTAGAATATAAAATGGAATTGTTTTTGTTACTTTGTTCCTCATTTCACAAATGTGTATGTCAAATGAGGAAAAGTAAAATTTAACATATTTTTACAATATATATATTTTTTTATGTGAAAAGTTGCCATGGGAGCAGGCGGTTCACCTGATGTTAAGTGAATACCGCCACTCATAGACATCCGCTACACCCGAGGGCTGCAGATGCATTGACAACCTTTGGGCTCCGGTTACCTCACTCACCAGACAAAACACTAAATAGTTTTTGTTATACTTCCACTTTATGCTGGTCTTCTGTGGTTGTGGTACTTACCTGGATGAGCCTGCCCATTTGTGCAACAGCCTAGGCTGCTGCATGGTCCTACCACAGTATCTTTCTCAAAATGTTTTACTCATTTCTACATAGTTTAAAAGTTAAGTTTATTTTAAATGTTAAAATTCTTGAAAAATGTATTTCATTAGAAACTGCTTTTGATCCACATATTCTAAATTAAGGAAAAAATAATAATATAACCTGCAAAGCCATGGTCCATATCCCATAAATAAACTGAGCTAACACCACCTTCGAAATACATTTCTCGGTACTGGTCAAATGCATGATTTGCATCAATTTCCAATTTCCTCAGTCGTTCTGAAGGCATAGAACCATCTTCAAGAGGTGGATCATATGTGTTAGACCATGGCGAGCGATAGGAATCGCCATCACGATTGTAATCGCAAAGGAGATAATCCTTTCCATTGCTGCGGTCTTGGGCTATTTTCAAGGGTTGGTCAACAGAAGATAAGAGGTCTTCGCAAAGACTTGGGACTAGGTCAATTAAATCTGTCAAATTCTTTTCAATCTGCTGGGGAGGCAGCCGACGCATTAAATCTAGTGCACAGTCCATCTGTTGCTCTGTCTGCAAATTACAATAAAGTTAAATAAACCAACTGAATCGATATTATCACGTATTAGTCATCAATATCACAACAAATAGCATCCACTACATTAACGTCGATATGTATAAATAAAATAATAATTTTTACCATGTTTTAATAATATTCGGATTGAATTTAACGAAAACTGACGTAGGTATTAAAGGTAATCTAAAATTACAGTTAAAAAAACTTTATAGTAAAATAAAAAACCCTTCCAGAGATGGCTTAATTTGACATAGGTATTTGCGTTCTATAACAGTCCGAAAATCCGCATAGTTTTAGTCAAAGAGTACTTTTATATATCTGGGTTTAGTAAACAGCTGAAGAATATGTGATTAACAAAGAATAAAGATATGAGTATGTTCTAAACTGATTAAATTACTTAAAGCCATAAACATTACACAATCAACACCAAATATCGTGAATTTTCCCTTTTTTTCATATTTCTCAACGGTGGTTTTGTTACGTCACTATACCTTCGAAGGCTTTAACATATACCTGTCTTTGTCACTTATTACAAAAATAAGGCGTTAGAGAGTATGAACGGGAGTGTCTTAATTCATCCTTTTAAAAATTACGGTGTATTATGTTACCGTTTCCAGATCCTAGTATTAAATTTTGACAGTTTGTCAACTCAATGTTGTTGTGTCAAATTTGTTGATATTCCTTTTATTAAAATAAGGTAAAGTATTGTATTTGCATTTTACAATTCATAAATTAAACTGCAAAGTTCATTTTAAAGTTAAGAAGTGATAATATTTTTGTAACATTCTTGACGAAGCCATCTCGTCCTGCACCGTCGAAAATGATTCATGTTATGGGAATGTTATCCATGTTTTTACACCTTTGTCTATAAAATTGGTACTCAAATGGTGCGTACACTGTATACTTGCGTCCGTGATGTTCTTGGATTGATTACCAGTTAACTAAATTGAGTACTATAAGCAATTATTAGGTTATAGTTTGTTCCGATTATATGTTGACTTCAGTCCCATTTTTGTGATTTGTTATATTAATTCAATGTAATTTAATCAGATTTTATGATTATTTTCAGCAAAAATCTTATACGGAAGTGAAAAATTTGTCGTACACGTCTCAATATTCCTGACATGATGCCAACTCAACTAGTACAGGACAATCACGCTAATGACGTGCGAGTGAAGACTGTGTATAGTGGAGATGTGATGATAACTTATATCAACCATAACATAACTCTTGAGGAGTTTACGCAGGAGATGATAGCGATATGTAGATTCATGCCAGATCAGGTTTGTTTAATTTTTTTTCATTGATTCATCAGTATTTAGAGTATAAAATTCACAAGTGGCTTCTATATTTTAACTAGTTGCTTTTTTTAAAATAAATAAGGAATTTGTCTTTAACAATTCTCAATTGTGTCTATTATGATTCCCTTAGGTATGAGATTGTTTCTTTTTGCAATGTATTTTGAATATAGTATTGTAAGGAGATTGATTGATGCTGCTAAGCCCAATTTGGTTAATTTATTTTTTGTATGTTCCTTAAGGTCCACGGAAGGTTTTTATACATTATATAAAAAGAATGAAGTCTGTTCTGAAGGCAGCTAGTAGGCTAATAAAGGAATTAATAATAAAAAAATTGGATTTAATTTTAGTTCTTTCCTATTTCTATTCTTCATTATCCTTTGTCGGTCAACTCTAGAAGAATGTTATAATAAAACAGTTCATAAAATAAATATTCATTCGTGTCACCCAGATGTGCAATATCAATTTAAGATTTATCATTTCAGCCTGTTTGAGTCCACTGCTGAACATAGGCCTCCCCCACAGACTGCCACAAAGCTTGCCTCTTGTTATTCAAAAATTATATAAAGTTACAAGCACTTAATATATGCATATTGTCAATGGTTTCTTTTTGCACTACATACTCTCACATAAATAGCAAACCTTGCTTTGATATATATGTTTATATTGTCAAAATAAGTAATCTTGTTATCTTTGCAATGGTTTCAGGTTTTCACAATGAAATGGGTGGATGAAGAAGGTGATCCCTGTACTATTTCAACCCAGCTGGAGTTGGATGAAGCTTTGCGTCTTTATGAGCTGAATCGAGACTCGGAGCTCACAGTTCACGGTAAGGATTTGCTATTTATAACTTATTATTATTTAAAAATAGAAATTATATTGATCATTGTATTGTTATGTATATTTAAATATTTTGAACACACATATCTTGTAAACAATAATCCTATAAAGCCCTAGGGCTATAAACAATTACCAAATTAAATTAATAAATAGATAACCCACTAGCAAGGACAACAAAAAAATTAATTGTTGCTCAACCATTAAAATTTTATAAGAAGTACTTATGAGTTACTTTTTACTAGTATGTTATTATTTTGAGTAATATGATATAATTGGATATCTAGTGTAAAATTATGTTTGGCTCTGATGAATAACCATTTATAACAGTAATTATTAAATGTTACAAAATTGATTAAATTGGGAAAATGTAAAGCATTTAATAATTTGAAGTTGTGTTGCATGTGATAGTTAAGAGCTGTGATACAGACTGTAGCGTCATCTCGTCATAGCTAACTACTCTTTGGCAAATTATAAATAAGGATATTATATTACATATTACAAAGTTTTGTTCGGACCCAAAGACATAATTTACTCCACGACAATTGAACTTGTTTCATGATTTCTATAAATAAGCTCTGAGATTTTAAGCATTTTTAATATTGACAATCTCACCATGAATGTTTGTATATAAGATAAAAATTCTAGTTTCTTTATTGATTAATTCTGCATGAATATGATCTTTTCAAATCATGTATTTTTGGTTTTTTTTAGCAAGATTGCAAATTATGTTATTCCAGTAGTAATCTGATAAAAAAATACTGCTATTTCAATTCGTAATAAACATCTTAGAGTATAATCTAATTTCAGTGTTCTTCTATTATGATGATTCTGATTTTTACATTTTTAAGTCTTTTATTTTGCATTCTATACGCTTTTTATTCTCTTTTTCTTTGAGATTCTTTTTTTTGTTAAAATAAAGTCCGAGAAATTGATTAAATTGAGAATTGAGAATTGAGTTATATTGAAACAAATCGTACGTCTTAATAATTAACCGTAACGATCGGTGGCTTGCTTCAACTCCCATATTTGGATTGACCAAGACCTGTGTGCTAACCATTACATATCTGCATACTAATGTACCCTTGGTTTTACAAACATCTAGGTTAAATAATTATAGTTAGTAATTATTTATTAAAGCTGACGTTAAATTAGCTCCTATTGGTAAGCTGATCACTCAACTTACGGGCTATTCTATTGTACGGTTTCTCAATTTTTTAAAAAAACATTGTAAAAATATTAATCTGTCTTTGTATCAAAAGTAAATAATAGAAATTAGATTTAATTTTAGCCCTAAATGGACGCGGAACGTTAATACGCTTTAATAAATATTGCAACTATCGAATACTAAATTAAATTAAAAGAGTTCCTATAGAGACAAGAAACGCGTGCCCGCTTTCCGTTTATCGTGAAATTGCTCATTCACGCCGACGGCGCGCCGCGCGGATTCCCGCCATAAACGCCTTATCAGGTTCGGCTGCCTCACCGGTGTTGCCATATTCAGGTTGTCGCTGGCCCCTTTAGTTTTTTCACTCGCCACCCGCTGCTTAAGATTGACCCAGAGATCGAATCGGTATTTTACCGACTCGTTTGCCAATAGTCTGTTGCGATTATACACAGATCTGATCGGGATGTCATTTAAAATGTATCGTCCTTCTTTCTTACGTGTACACGTCTCTATCTTAGCATTTGGTATAGATTCGGATCTAACGGGTGTCCCGCCTAATAACACTACACACATTTAGCGTTAATGTACAACATACTATGGGCGTAATATGGCTATTAACATAACATCGGGCGTTCAACATGCCGCAATTTGTATACCGGGCATTTTAAAGTTGTGCCGTATCTTTCTAGAGCGAAGGTTGAAAAGCTTAGCGTCGTTAGTCGTTGACGTCCGAAATGCCATGTCGTTTTCCGGACGTCTCTTGCCATAAGTTTCGCGAACTCTTTCGGCCCATTTTATATACAGGGCATTTTTTCATGGTATATTTTTTTTCAAACTGGCATGAAGCACTATATTTGGCGCATAGACATGTTACTATTATTGTATGCTAAAATTTTTATGGTACGGTTTTTTATGGTAAACGCCGCGGTATTTTTAAATTTTAAATAAGTTTTTATAGTTGTTATCTCTGCACTTAAGATGAAACATTAAAATAAGACGAACGCACGTCTTTGTACCAGACGTTTAAATCACGTGGTTTTAACCTTTCGTCGTTTTCGCCTTTGCAATTGAAATAAAACTTTTATATAAGTTTTTATAGTGAAAAAAAAAAACAAAATTACATTTTTAGAAGAGGGGTGCGGTATATTTAATATTACTCGAGTGCGAGCTCCCTGCGCCGCTAAGACTACGGGTGCAGGCATAAACTAAGCTCAAAGGGAGGGGAATTCTTCCGCCTTGTGAAGTTATAACATTGCGGTACATCGCTAGAAGCGGGCAAACCTCGTCCGGGCAATGGTTTACGCCTTCGCGTAATTAGGGACGCTTTAATTAACCGCGACAGCTTTAGTGGTTTGCGGACGTTACTTTATCGGTGTTTTTGGCTTCTTAGTTTTAGCGCTGTGAGGATCTGCATTAATGTGAAGTTTAGCTTTGGGCCATGTCGGAAAGCGTAAATTCTCTGCCTTCTTAAGAGGTTTCTTTCTATTTATTTATTCAAATAACTTAACTAACATAATATATATAACTTAACTTCAAATAACTTAAACAATACAAATTAGGACTGTCTAAAAGTAACAGCTTAGACATATTATATCCCAGCGTATGGTCTACCATGTGTCTCTCACTGTGGCTTGGCAGTCTTAAGATATTTGCTCAGAATGTATACATATGCATTCTGAGCAAATATCACCACTAACTCAATACGATTTTCTGAAGATATTACAGCCCACACCACCGAGTGGCAACTTTTCTTCCCTGCTTGTTGATATCGTTCTCCTGCTTGTTTATATACTTTTCGTCTCACATCGTGTGTGAATAAAAAAACCTTATGACACTCATCAGATGAGATTATGTAGATAAATATGCCCCTCCTTTCGAGCAGTACCACGCAGACTTTTTTCTTCTTGTACCATAAATAATTTGAGTACATTCTTCAGGTGTGCGACATGGTGCGAAATTGTATTATCAACACTGATTACTGTTGGTAATACAATTTATTGTTTGCATTGATTTTTTAAATTTAATTTTTTTTAATTCTGAATTTTGTTTTTTAAGCTTTAACTTGTACTAATCAACTGACTTTTCAGATTTATTTAATACATATATAACATAATTTTTATACCAGTGATCCAGTCTATAATTCCATGTAGATTATGTCAATGACACCGTATCGAGAATTACCGGTATAATGAATGGATGTAGATATTAATTATTTATTTTTGTCTGCGGGGCCTCTTGTTGATGACCAGATAGATATTGACCAGATAGCACATTTCTTGCACGATGTGTTTGAGATAAAAGTTTACTAGTTCGGTCGGAGAATTTGCAGAGCCAAAAGTTTCTTCTTTGACGATTGTTGCTTTGAAGAAAAAGTGGAAAGTGAGTTGGCGGTTCACCTGATATTAAGTGATAACCGCCGCCAATGGTCATCTAGTACACCCAAGGGCTTGCAGATGCATTGCCACCTATTAATAAAGTAGGCCTCGATTACCTCCCTCACGAGATGAAACGCGAAGTATAACATTTTCACTTCACACCGGTATTCAGTGAGGTCGTGATTGGCTGCTTGGCCATACTCTGTTGATGCCGGAATTGCTTCAAGACAAGAGAGATTAGGCTTTTCTAGCGCTTTTACCTCACGGTCTGGTGGATTTTTTAGGCCAAGCATTTATCACTTCGTAATAAGTAAATCCCGTATGGGACAATATTTTATATGACCTGCAGATATTGTTTCAAATCTAAGTGTTTCACGCATGACGCGGTACATCTGGTTCTAGTAAATGGCAGAGAGCAAACACGTTTTTTTTTTTGTGTTTATTTTATACCCAACGCAAAAAATGTGATTAATCAGTAAAAAAATTTCATTCAATTGAACGTAGGTAACATTTGTTTGAATTACGGTTTACTTCTCCTTTGTTTATTATTTATTTATTCTCGTTCGCACTGATAATGATCATTTAAATAAATAATAATAATGTTTTCTATACCATCGATCAAACAGCATAAGACTTTACATTCGGTGACCGGAAACTGTGTGCGTTGTGCGCACAAACAGCGAGCGGTAAGCAGAAACTCGAATACAAGTATTATAGTTTAAAGCAATGTTCCTAAGATTTATAGAGGTGGATGTAGAACTTTGTGCATGTTTCCAGCGTTGCGCAAATACACCAGAAACGGTTGTACAAACTCTAATGTAAACGCGCGGAAACTTGTCCTAATAAAGCGCAAACTTTGCGGCACTTTGGCGCCCAGCGTGGGGCGTCGTTTGGCACCCGCATATTGTTGGCGTCGTTTAATAGGGAATAATTGAATTAGCTTCGACGCTGCTCTAAAAGTCTATTGCGATCGCTTTTCGCTTCTTGGAGCTTAGCTAAATTGTTTAGGGCATATTAGTTGACATCTTGCATAGATAATTGCGTTACTTTTTATCGATTACAACTTTGCTTTTAAAAATATTGTTAGCGCATTATTTTATATCTTTTTTTAAGTTAATTTTTTTTACCAATCCTTATTTTATTAAAAAAGAGATAATTGTTAAAATGAAAGTCGAGAGGTGTCGCGGGATATACCCGGTTTGAATGAATTTCCCTTTGCTGTTAATTTAATATTGGACGCAATAACTTAATTTATAAATTTTGACAGGATCTCTGCGAAAAATAATAATGAATAGTTAATTGGTAATTTGGCAATGGAGAGTAACCTCTTTATGAGCATTACGACACGCTTGCTACAGAGATAGACATGGGCTTGGTAAACATACAAACACACACACACTGGACTAATGTACCTAAGTATCGTAAAGGTCAAGAGGGAACACTTTTTTTTGTTTAACTCTTATTCGCCCAGCGCGTAGCATAATGTGCGACAAGGAAATTAGTTCTGGAAGATTTTTATCGGTATCGGTACTTTATTAAATTTACATTAAATTACTTTATTTATACATTACTTTATTTCCAAAAAATGTAACTATTTAAAATTTTCGAACGGAGCATATCTATTGTTAATAAACTCGCTAACATGCGTTTGTTAAAAAATCTCTTATGCATCATTTATTCGACATAACTAAATTGCACTATAGCCCGAACCCTAATTAATGATGTGCTTTGATGTGATTTGAAACCACCCGCATCCACTACTCTGAACGACCTACATAACAAATTCATGGCCTTGTTACCAAAGTGCGCCTGTAGGGACTATACTCGTATAGCCCCTAATATTATATAAATACATAAAGAAATGCTGTAATAAGTAACCTTATGCGTTGACAGCGATTAGCACATATCCTAGAATTAGATTTGCTGCCACGTAGTAGTAGTGTAAAGGGAATATGTTAGCTATATCTTCCTTTTTATCTTATCCTTTAAACGAGCAATTCTTGTATATATATATATATATGTACAATCGGAATCTCGTAAACGGCTCCAGCGATTTTCATGAAATTTAGTGTTTGCGTATGTTCGGGGGCGAAAAATCCATCTGGCTTGGTTTAATTTTTAGAAAATGTCCTTTTATCCCTGTTTTCAGGGAATGAAAAACATCATTCGAATATGACGGTAAATTTCGCTGCGAAAGAAAATGTTTTAATAGCTCGGTCGGTAATCGGGCGGCCCCAAAACAGACGGCCGTGGTTCGTGTGACGATCATTTACACTTTCTTTTTTTTTACTTTTTTTTCGATTCCAGATTATTGTTTTCTTTATTTTTTATTTTTTGTTGATCCAGATGATTTTGTTATTTTTTTCCCTTTTTTTAAAGTTGTTTCTTTTGTGAAAAACACCACTTCACATTTTCTTATTATTAGGTCGGTAAGATCGAAAAATATTATGCATATTTTATTACTCAGTAATTTGTATCCAAATGTAATTTCCAAAATACACGATTTACAGTCTTTTTACTCTTATTAAGCACAGGTCCTCCAGGTACTGTGCTTAATAAAAGTAAAAAGTTGTCCAAATTTTGGTAAAAGTAATAGTCGGTAGGTACATGGTCTGTTAAGTATGACGGATGAGGGAGAGCTTCCAACCCCTACTCTTGCAGCTCGGAGACATTCTGACGTGCAGTATGGTGGCGCGTTGTCTTGAATGCGTCAACCAAAGCGTCCGCCAAAGCGACCAAAGAGCTTGACAACGAGCAACAAAGGGTCTCCGAAAGACTTCTGTGTTATGAGTCACCGTACATCACAGAGTACGTTGTTTACTTAACGTACCCAGTTTCTCTGGTGAGATTATTTCATGACCGTCCCTCCTATTATTCTGTGAGAAATATAATGTAACTTTGAAAAATACTCGCTTGATATTCAATATTATGATATATTATACATAACGAAACGAGTTCTCCAGTATGCTTTTCAAAAAGCGTGACTTCAGCTGGGCTGACCTCACTTTGCTCACTATCCTGATGATCACTCATAGTATCACTGATTAAAACTCCAAGTAACACTTTACACAAATTTAATTCTAGGCCAAAGTAACAATGTCACTTAAATGGACCCGTACAGTTCAACGAGTGAAACAGTAGTGTCTAGCTCGGCTCTCGTACAATAATTTATAGTAAGTGAATCAAGTCAATTGTTCAACTATATCATCAAACTTAATAGTTAAAGTCTGTTAAGAAAATGAATAAACAATTAATTCGCTTGTAATTTAAATCATAGCATCATTAAACTAAACCCTAAATAATAATAATAATCGTTTTTGACGTTAAGTCTTTGCGCCGATATACACAATTTAATAACCAAGTTAGTGACTGTCCAAATAATTTTCATTTTGATGTCTTGTAAAAACATAGTACCTTTCCCCAAAACGATAACGGATTAAAATTACATATTTTTATTTATTTTTTTAAACTTATGTATTTTTAATATAAAGATAATAATAATTATAGAGCAACTTAATCACGCCCCTTTCGAATCGGAACCCTTGCTAAGATAAATAACTTTGTTTTTATAAGTCCTTTTTTGAATATTCATTTACAAAAAGAGAAAGTAAGGAATTTCTTTAATAAAATATAAATAAATGCTCCTTTAAAAGGCACAGAGATTATAAAGTAAAATGTAAAATTATAAAGTAAATAGTTGTAGGATAGGACACAATTTTATATGTCCACTAGTTTTTTTAATCCCGGCTTGAATATTTTCTCCCGGAGGAGTAATAAAGACAAGTAATTTGACATTGAAATTTTAAATCTAAACCGTTTAATATATTAATTTTTAATATAATAATACGTTATCATAATTTATCGTTAAATTGTTTACTTATTTAGTCACGTCCATTGCAGCGCAATATACACGTATTAAAATTAAATTTGACCTAGTACACTGTTGCTTTAGCAATTTGTACGTGTTTCTAATTAAAATAATATTAAGGTTATGATAGTCGTGTCTTGGCTCGTGTCGAATTGTGGCCGTTTTAATCGACGTGCACACAGACGCACAAGCTGGGTTAAAATCCCAACATCGATCTCAAATAGTATAAGTAATATTAAAAGTTGGTAAAATCGTCATAGTCCCTGTTAACACGAAATACCTAAACAATGGTAAAGAGTGGTTTACTATGTTCACAATTATGACAACTTCTTGTACTCTAACAAACAGTTAAAGTACAAGACAGATTTTATATCAACCTGTTATAAACAGTTCAGCCTGATATTCTAATGCACATTGATAACCAAACATACTCCAACCAACTTAGGGTACTTTGACATCAATGACGGCTGAACTAGTCGCTGTAGCAAAACAAACCTCACAGTCCACATCATTGATTTAATCACCTGGTCCTACGAGAAAACCAATTACAGTGTAAACGGAATATTTTTTTATATCGTAAACAGAAATAATACCTAATGTACGTCACACTGTTAATCTTCGTCACTTCGAACGTACAAAGGTATTCGAATAATCTTCAGTTTAAGTTTTAAATAAACGCGATAAGCCCGTGAAAATTGTTTCATTCAACAATTTCAATGGGGCCCTCATAAAACTTCGAACCGACACGGAAATCGACGGAAGACACTGGTTAGATCTCTCCTCTCGTCAGTGTTTTGACTAATTAGAGTAATCCATGCAGCATGATCTATTTACGATGAGTACGCATGTACGCCGGCATGTCGCTAGAATTGCATAATGGCCTTTGTCCGCCGTCGAACAGGTGTGTCTTAAATATTACGTAATTAAATGTTGGAATCGCTAACGATCGCCGTAGGAATATAATTTCTCCAAGGTATGTCGTACTACAACCGTACGGTTTTTGGTATTTCTTTATGTGTTGCTATATTAAAAGCCGAACAAACTGGCAAGGTATCGTACCTCTAAGGTGAAATAAACATCATTTTAGCAGAAAGTATTGATAAAAGTCTTAGAGCGTAGAATTAAACTGTTAGGGAAAAAGGTGTTCTTTAATATGTATGTACAGAATGAAATATGAAAGACACCATGCTCTTTTCAAATATTGCATAGTGTTAAAAACGATGAAATAGATAAAAATGTGTTATTTAACAACAAAGCTGCACCTTGGTGGTTGGGTAGCCGAGATATATGACATTAAGGTTTCAAAACAACCGATTTCCTTCGTGCTTTCTCGTTTTTTGCTCATATTTATGCGAGTACTGTCACAAATTCTAACTCGGTGTACGATGTGAATAAACCTCTGTAGGTCGATAAAACGTGAATAGCATTAGGATATTTTCTTCACCACTCATGGTTTAAAGATGTGTTCATAAGTCTTACTGTAGGATAATATTTATAGGTACTGTGTTTTAAGGTAATCGTTTTACATGGATAAATTTCACGTGGACAAACATCATAAACAATTAATTATCTGTGTGGTCACACAAATAGTTGTCCAGTGTGGACATCGAACCCACGACCGCCGAAGCCAATACCTTGGCAACTCCGCCACGTAGTCAACAGTCAGATAATTGGTAGTCCACTGGAAATTCCTGCTATGTATTACCACTTTGTGGATTAATTTTCTTCAGTGTTATTTCCTGACCAAAACGCCAATTTAAGGCTCTGTTAGCTCAGTGTCCGTCCGCCGGCTTTTATTTCTATGTACTCCAGTTCAATTCCTGGTGCTGGCAACAATGAAATTCGTAATTGCAATTTCTAGTGCTGATTTATCACGTGCTCACTGACGAAGAAAAACATGAGGAAAGCTGCAGATTTTCAAAATATTATTAAAAAAAATGTAATATGTGACATCTGCCAATCAGCATTATTTACCCTCTCTACAGAGGAGGCTACATTTGGCTACATTTGCTCAGCAGCGGGGTTTATATAGACTGTGTCTTTACTTTACGACTTAAGGACCTACAAGAAGAGAGTATTTAAAACATAAAGGTGAGCAAAACATGAACTTCTCTGACCTATCACATTCGTTAATATCCATACATTCAGAACAATTGAGGAGATACGAAACCGCATGTGAGCAGCGGTGATCAACCATTATGTGAAAAATGTGCCTACTTTTCATAACAAATTACATATTTATAGAATCAAGGAAGTTCATCCCACGCCGATTCTCACTACAGTATGTGTTACGTAATATATTATTAATTTAAATGACATATTGCAAAAGCTATGCATAACAATAATTCATCGACAACAAATCCGTTCTGACAGCATGCATGCATGCCACAACTGTGTTGAATTATCGTTGATTGTAATGCCAATCTTAAACTGAAGTGGAATACTGAGAACGAGTCACCTCTGCTTACCAGTAGCAAAATAATTTGACCGTATTTTATTATCTTAATTGCTATTACTAATTAATTTGTACGTGGCAACCGAGCAGGCGATGCATCATCAAAATATTTAGGGTCGCAGATGCGTTTCGTTTACCTATATTGCTAACGAATATTTGCGGCCCCCGCACTCGGTGGAAGAAGTGCCTAAAGGCCCATTTACACGGTGCCAGTTTCTTGCCTGTTGTATACAATTAAATTGAAGCAATAAATAAGTTGCATGGTCTAAACAACAAATGGTCTAACCAATTATTGCGCGCAATTTATTGCATTCAATTATTGCTCTTGCATGTACAAGAAAATGGCATCGTGTAAATGGGCCTTAATATTTCAACTAAAATAAATGAGTTAAAGTAGGTGTAATACTTCAACTTAATTTCGGTCCTATGTCTAGCCGTTCGCCCATTACCAGCAGTAGCACTACCATACTATACTGTGTACTAATGATTGTATTGGATTTCTAATCGGTGGTACTTGAATCTTTTTTTGCATGGAAAAAGGGGCGAACGAGCAGGACGCTCACTTGATGGTTAGTGATCATCTGCCGCCCATGAATATCTGCAACACCGGAGGGCCTGCAAATGCGTTCCCGGCCTTTTGGAAAGAATGTGCTCTCTTCTTGAAGGATACCTAGGTCGTAACGGTACGGAAAGACCGCCGGCGGCAGCTGGTTCCACAGAGTGGTTGTGCGAGGTAGGAAATACCTGGAGAATCGTCCTGTTGTGGCACGGTGGACATTAAGGTGGTGTGGATGAAATTTCTTCCACATCAACACATCTCCGCTCGATTGTTACGGTTAAGTAATGGAAGTACCTTACTTGTTGACTGACTTCATGAATCCTACCGTTGCGTAAACTATTTTTAAGATAGAGTGCTATATGTATAAACGAACGTTACAGACTCATTATTCCTGGATGTGATTTCGTTGTTAATTTAATGTATAATGATAGAGTCTGTTGAATTAATATTCAATTACTGATGCGTACAGCCATGTTCCGGTCTAGTAATTTAGTATTGTATCACGTTACGCTGGTCTTCGGTGTTTATGTTCGTCGATTGTCGGAATGAGCTTTTTAGGGTTCCCCTTGAATTTATACTCAATCTTAATACTAAAAGATTTTCATTAAGGTGAGGTGGCAAACGATGGTCACGTACATTCCCAACACCAGAGACGTTGCCAAAGGGTAGACATGGCCTCTCGTTTTACAGGTCCTCGAGTCTTAAAGTTCTTCTAAAACTATTATTATGTATCGGTCCGAAAATACCGCTGGAGGCAAATGATAACAACAACGTAAAAGTATATTTCGATTTCATGATCAATTATGAAATTTCTAGAAAATTGTTGACGACGTTGTAAAGTTTATTTTTGCTATGGTGTAGCCTGAGGTTGATTAAAATTCGCTATCAACAAGATTTCTCCGTGATTCGGCCTTTTTGTTCGACTTATCAAAAGTCTTGACATTTAACTTTATTTTGTAGTATTTCATGGACATTAACGTTTAATTAATCGTCGATTACGTGGTAAATTGACACTTCAATTTCGACTCGAGCTCCTCGAGTACAACGTATCAAGAGGCGAGCGCTCCGCCGCTGAGCCACCAAGGGCTCTCATCCATACGTACAAGTAAAACGGTTGTAAAATGGTACAAGTAAACTTTGTTGCGCCTCCGTACGCGTCCGTCGGTCCGTAAGTTCCCGCGGCCCCAATTGTTTCAGCGTGCTCGAGATCCCGCATCCCGTGACGTCATCTCCCCCCTCCTGTCGATGCGCTCGTGAAATTCACGATCCGGTTTCCACTCGATACAATTGCTTGTGGGCCAATAGTCGAGAGCTAAGGGGCGACCCATCCGCTAGAGCTCCGACTGGATTCCTCCTTATCTGCGAAGATCTGTGACATGTTGGGTACGACCGCGGTTCGCCGACTACGAAGATGCGAGTTATGTAAATTTTGCGCGTTCGCTTGGTTCATTGTTCGCGGGCGTGATTGTCGTTTAGTTCTCGACTAGGGTTGTGGTTTTCTTGCTGTACAGGTACATCGTTATTTTCTGCTGATATTAGAAGCTTTATTCCTGTTTTTTCCATCAATATGTTCTCAAGTAGGTGTGCAGTACAAGATTCTGTGGTATTCATGCAAATTTGGACATGGTTTTGACCCCATCTAAGTTCGCTTATATGCAATCTATGCATGTATTTTTTAAAAGGAATTTAAATACATATTTTTTATACTGTGTTTCCGGTTTGGACATTTTAATTATTCCGAGCTCCAGGATGTATAGTTATAACAAAATATAGCTGCTTTTCTATTAACATTATTTCTTGTTGACGCGAAAAGGGTTAGGTCGCGCAGTTGCTTGTCACTTCCTTATGCACAGTTAGGGTTGCGCATCGTTCGTCGGGCCCATTGTTATTGGCGTGGCAGCCCTGGAGTTTTCGAAGGCCGCCACGGCTAATTGGCGGTGGCCGGCCGCCTCCGCGCGCCGCGAGCGCACTGGAAACAGAAACAGTGGCTTTGTGGAAATCCGTGCGCGCGCGCGTGTCCGCGAGCGGCGGTACCCATTTCGTGAGCTCCGCGCCGCCAGTGACGACGCAGTGTTTTGATCTCGCGCGTTCACGTGGACCGCAACGCTGCAATGGAGGCGTTGACCCCGCGGACGGAGACGTACTCGCGCTCGCCGCCCCGCGACCCGAGAGAGGTTCTGTGTTTGTTTCGCGCCTTTGTTTTTTTTTTTTTGCTTATTCGTTCTACCGCCAGTGTCGCGCGTTCGCCCCACTTCGTGCGTTTTCCGAATTCCACTTGTTTGATTTTCGAATGCGCCGTAATAGAACAGTGCTATTGTTTGTCGTTTGCCGTTCGTTTTGCTTTAGCCGGCTGTGAGCGTGAAGTTTTCAATGGCATGTTTTGAATTACTATTGTTTGCGTTACGATTTGAAGCGTCGAATGCTAAACTCCATAATGCGGTCTGCCGTCTCATATATTTCGCGATGAAGACAACCTTGTGTTCTGTGCGGCTATCAATTTTTGTATACGCATTTTAGCGAGGTCTGTTGGCCGTTTGGTTATATGAAGCAAAATGTTGACTTGGTACCTGAACTAATGCGTGAAATCGCCGCAACGCCAGGATTACCTACTTAATGATGCAGAGGCAGAAATTCTCATAATACTACAAATAAAAACATCACTCATACGAACACAGTAAAATTTATTCGAATACCAATTTATACCAGTAAAATGCACCATGATAAGTAAACATTATTAATAGTAGGCCCAATTGTTATTGAAATTATTAAAATTAACTTATTGTTAAAAAATAAAAAATGGAAGTCTCCACGACAACTGATTGCATGGCTGGTAGTAGTAACAATTGATAGATGACCTAATCAATGTACGATTTTACAAAAAAATCCTAAACTATTACTTGTTGTGAGTGTGTACACTAGTGATTTGAATCGGCAATCGGAAATCATTGTCTTCCGTACATCACTATCGCCAATTAGTTCAATCAGCCTCGTTACGCCGCGAATGTTATTCGTTTGTCGCCCAGTGATTGTCTCCATTCATTGCCCATATAAACTTAGCACTATTTGTGATGGGACTTTTGTTGCGTTGTTTCTGAGATGTTCTCAGCTGACGGTTAAAATATTTAATCGTCAGCTGAGCGTTTTTAACTATAATATAACGTCGGAACTGACAGCCTTGATTCCGCGTGCGATGACTCATGCACACCAGGCGAATTAGAGTACACTATACGTACGGTAGAATTCGCTGGTCTAGCACCCACCAAACGTCGACCGCGCACTCTGAAATGACCCTAAACGTCAGTTGTATAAAATCGCATCTAGCTTACCTTTCGGCGTCGTCCGAATGGTCTGTAAACAAATGATTTATTATACCCGCGCGTTTGCGGACTGTAGTTATGCATCGGAACGGAGAGTGGTCCTTATTTCGTAACGAGCATCGTCCGTTTTCCCGTGGCGTCGCGTCGACACGAACGACAAACGCAGTCGACGGTAGTGGGAAACGTCGGTCCATTTCGTCGGACGTTCTAATTACGTCGCTGTTAACTGTTTCGGGACACCGTTCGGGTCGGATCGATTTCGGATTCGCGAAGAGATCTCCGTCGAAAGTTTGGCTGATTATCGACGGCACGAATTGTTATCCAGGACCGAGGTTACGCATTTCTCTTTAACCGATTGTTGTTCTTCACTGATTTAAATCGGACCAGATCAGTCGAACAGAACTAAAGATGCATGTAAATATACACATATTTGGCAGTCTAATCGAAACTTTATCATCTTAATCTTAATCTACTCGAAAACTTTGGATCCTCTTTTAAGAATATTGGTGACTTTTGAAATGTTAGATTGACTGAATGAGTTTGAAAAAAAATTTCTCTAATATTCAATTCATTACCATTGGTAAACCATACAAATTTTTGGAGTTTCTCGTTTCCAAATTAACAATATTTAGTAATGGCGTAAACTCAAGAAATCATTATATTTACCTTGTAGCAACGATGATAGGTTGTACGTTGATGATACGATGATGTTTGTTTTGATTATATTTACCGTTCAATTACAACCAATAGACGAGAGTTAGTATTAATAAAAACTCCATTAGAAAGAATTCCCTTTTTCAAAATTCAGAAGATTTTTGGAGTGTCATGAACTATGTTGTTGCAATTTCACGTAAATTTCATTAAAATTGACGTTTGATTGACTAACTGTTGCCGGCGACTGCGCTCGCGTGAAACTGATCGTGAAAAATTTACGATAGAAGAACCAAAAAGAAAACACATTTTTATATGTATTTCTAGTAACTAGTGATTTCACGAAGGATTCTAACAATGGTACGAGATGGATGGTAAATCAAAACCAACGAAACATCGCAACCTAGTGAGAAATCTCTGCACAGCCTCCGTACGCGTCGGTGTTTGCTTAGCGCGACTTTCACCCCAAGGCCGAAAATAACCGATCAACGGTACGCGACCGTCTCGTTTCCGCTTCACTTCCCCGGCGGCGTAGGTATGTGTGTCACCCTCGCACGTGGGCGGCAGCCCGATGCGAAACAGGGACGGAGCACCCACTAGACCCGCTTGAGTTCCGATCGAGAGAAAGTATGGAGTAATGCAATTATTGCGCGGCTCTCCGTGGGTTTGACGTGATTGTTTATACGGATGTAAGGCGTGTAACGATATTTTTATGTTTTGACTTCGAATGAAGAATGTTAAAGTTGGAGTGACGGCTTCGAATTCGTTTCCCTACACTGACTCACCTGAGAAATGGTTGGTGTTCAAGAATTATTAGAACGTATTTCACCAGTTGTGCTCAGTGAGCATCGTGTCGTTCTTGCAAGAATTTTAATAGATGTTAAAATTCTTTGAACTGCTACAGCCCTTAGAATGTGTTATGAAGTGTAGAATCTTTTCGATAAACGACTATGACGAATATGACCCAATTTTTTTAATATAACATAGTTCCTGAGATTAACGCGTGCAATCATTCAAACTTCATACTATGCTATATGTATTATGCCAATATTGTAAATGTACAATCTAATTAGTTTAATAATATATTAGCCACATCATTGATAACATTTCTGTTTACGAATGTCCGTTGATTTTCTTTTATTGTCTAACCATTAAACCATTAAGAAGGTGGTAAGTGGTGGTAGGACGCCGCCTATGAACTTGCAAACTCCCACGGGATTGCTAAGACTGCCAATTAAAAAAAAACGGATGCCGGTTACTTCACTTACGAAATGAATGCAAAAGTATATCCCATTTCTTTACAGTGGTCTTCTGCGAGGCCGTACATAGCCCACAGGAATGGATCGGCCATTCGTGGAACGTCATATATTAATAAATCGGTCTGAATTTTAACGGACAGAAATCGCCAGACACACGCGTCGCAAAACGGACAACGCGACGCGTTTGTGTTATATTTAAACATTAGCGTTTCTTGTTTTTCCACTCCGTCGTTCGCTGAACTAATTAACGTTATCCTTACTCAGATATAAATGATTATTCCTAAACATCCCTAATTTGAGTATGTAGTGAAGAGTACATCGTATAGTGAACTATTTCCTGTTCCTAGTTCGAATGGTACTATGCCATAAATAGGCGCAAAAAACGTGTTCACGTGTCCTTGATAAAATGTTTTATTACATTTTTATATAATTAGCGTATAATTTTTCAGATCGAAATGCTTATCAAAATGTATCGAGTTCAATATCATCTTTTTATCAATTGCATGGCTATAAGACGCAAGATCTTTGCACACGGTGTAATAGAAAAAGTGGAATGTCGTTGCTTGACAAATACAGTTGGTCCATTTTCAACACTGGTGCTCACTTAAAAAAAAGGGCCATTGTATATTTCCACCGGGGCTTATCGTGATGCCAAAGATTCACTAGACGGTAGGAAGTTGCGTAAAATATTAAAATAACCCAATCGTTCGTAGGTACAGCAGTACACACACAAATTACGTTATACACGTTTGTAACGCTGGACATAATCCTTGAAATCCACTTAAAATTTGAATCGAGTCTTATAAAAAAATTCTATGCAATATTTGCCGCCCGTACCTACTGTAGCTAATTCAAACTCTCAGAACCGGTATTCTTTCCCATGTACACAATGAGCCCAAACGCTAGCGGCTCATTACGTCTATTAGCGATGATCCGGGGGAGGGGATGGGGGGAGTTTTAGTTCGCGCGGGCACTATGTGAAAAATAAGATATATTTTAGGGCATATTTACACAACCCAATAGCTAGTGCCAGATAATAGTGCCAAACGAAGCAAAGCTTGTACTATGGTTACTAGGTAACTGAAAAACATTTTTTTTGTGACACTAGAAAAATACTATGTTCATAACATAATATGTTTCACGAAACAGGTCCACTATCCACTGTGTCATTTGGGTCCTCGAAATAGAGCAGAAACGACTGGAATAGTCTCAAAAATTTCCTTCGTCTTCTTTTTTCTTTCTTTATAGCTTCTCTTTAAAGAAACTCACCAATTTAGCTATCAAAATTTTCTACTTTATAATTAGATGACGCTAATAAGTGCTCTTGCAAGTGCAAAGCTAGCACAAAAAAATGTGTTTTTGACTACCCCTTACGCATGGAATGAAAAGATCTGTCAGTAGGTCTTTCCTTGGGCGTCTTCAAGGCGAGTGAAAATAGGCTATTGATGAATTATTGCGTTCGCCTTTTACGGCTGCATCGCGTATTTCCATCAGGCGGTAATCCACTGGCCAGTATCTTATAAAATAAACCATGTTGCAAAGTTGTGTGCTGAAAACGAGAGTAGCATTTATATGTGTTTTTCGGTTCTGCTAATATGTGAAATGCGTGGGATCGGATTGAAACCCTGGACTTCGGCATATATTCGATATTTAGGTTAATGTACAAACCAGCAAGGTGAACTACATTCGACATTTGATATGAATAACGCATGTCGCGTGCAAGCCGATACTGTTCGCGTGTCGGGTGATCTCGTTCGCTTGCTTGAGAAAAGAAGCATGGTTTTTTCCAGTATTGCGCCGGTAATTGAATCGGTCGAACGGCTGTCCTTTGATGCTTCACGCCACCGACTTCGGTCTAGATCTGAGTAGAATTCAGTTCTCAAGACTGTATTATCTCTGTGTTATGAGTAGACTCGGTGGCGCAGTTGCCAAGCTATTCAGGCTTCGACGCCAGGGGTCGTGGGTTCGACTTACACACGGGACATTTGTGTGACCCAAAGATATTTGTCAGACGTACGGCCGGGCGTGGAAAACAGCAACCGTTACCGTTATTACAACATTCACGTGTTGTGTTATGTTCACATGAGAGCAGGAGAACTAGAACCTGCTCATTGTTTTGCTTTCTCGCCATACTCAGAGACAGTTAAATCCGTTCATCAGAGAATGATTTTAATTCATCTTCGGTGCTAGTCGCAGTCTTGTAGTGCGTCCGACTTAAACAACTGAAAATAATAATAATTAGTTGACTCCCTGTCTACTGGACCAGTCACACAATCTATTGTAATTAGCAGTAATCGGAAGCGTTTTCAAGAAATTTCCCTGTGCACGAATGGGCAGGTCCGTCCGAAGAAGCACCACGACCTAACAGAAGACCGGCGTGAAGTGGAAAGACGAAACGCAAAAGTGTTATATATCTGTGTTTCGTCTGGTGAGTGCGGTTGCCGGGGCGCACTATATTAATAGGTGGCAACGCATCTGCTATCCTACGGGTGTTGAAGATTTCCATCGGCGGCGGTTATCACTTAACAACAGGTAAACCGCGAGCTCCCTTGTCACCTTCTCACGTAAGAAATAAGGCTAACATAGCAGCATTGGCTGTTGCACGAATGGGTAGGCTTGCCCACGTCCTCAGAACACCGACGTGAAGTATTCATGTTGGCAACGCATCTTCAACACGTCAGGTGTAGTCACTTAACAGAGGGTGCTGCCTGCTCGCTTGAAAACTATTAACATATAAATGGTAGATTTTGAAACATAATAATTTATAAACTCAAATAATGAAAGAGAAGAAAATAATGTACAGTAAACTTTCACATCATCAATTCCTGACGGGGTAGCTAGAGTATTTTTTTGTCGTCCAGGTAATGTCGAGTCGTTATATAGTAGTATATTGTAAATACACTACTTCAGTGAAATCCTAACCTTTAACGTAAGCAACGTTTTCTACTGGGCTTACCCAGTCAAATGGATCAGTAAATTTCACCAGTCATCGGACACGAATGTAAAAATATTGTGTCGTTTCATATAAAAAACAAAGCCTTATATGCCCTTGGAACTCGAAGGAGCTCGGCTTATGTGTAATCCTAGTTGCTAGGACTCCATCGGCGCCATTAAGTTCGTATAGTTATTCAGAATCCTAAATTATTTTTAATGTAATGCTGATAGCTTGAAAAGCTTACCTGTTTGCGCGTTAAGAGACTATTAACTAAAAACGGAACGTCCTCCTCTAAGGGAAATGTTGTTTGAACACCTTCCGTGGGCACACTATAAAGCGGAGGTCGTATTAAATAGCGCCGTACCTACCGCCTGACCCCTATTGTTTTTATTGTTTCGGTATGACATCACGCGAACCACTACTTTGTTGTCGCAAATCCATTTTAGTTTAGCCACACATTCGCACGACCCTCGAAAAAACGTTGAGGTCGCTCGAGATACGCATTCGTGGTAGGCGCCTCCATATTTATGGATCGTATCAATTGACATCATCATTCCTATCGTGCTTAATTTAGTGCTGTGTAGTTGAGTGTGACATCAAATTGCACGTGGCATGTGAATTTCAACCCTGTGTTACTGCATAGAAGGTCGAATTTAGTAAGCGCGCGGTTAACACGTTGGCGCTTTTATTTAAGCTGTGCTAGAAAATGGCGACATTAGAATATATCGATGTTGCAGTCTAGCGATCATATTTATCGTGCTGTTTGGCCAATCGAATAGATATCAATGAAATTTAAGAGCACGTTATTATTTTATTGGCAATGAACATAGACGCGTGGACGTGAAAGAGAAGATAGATAAAGAAAGAATTGGGCATAGTGAAAAGTCTGTTTTTTTACTATCTACACATTGTTACGGATAGACGTTTGATAATTATTGTATTCAAAATCTCCCTGCCGCATGATGTATTCTTGTTTGTCAGTTGGTTGGACCGTTTTAATGGAGCAAATGTATTACTATTTTTGACTCTTGTTTCTATGAGTAATAATTTCTGTAAGCAGAAATTTTGTTGTCAAACGGAAATCTGAAACTCTGATCCCACTGGTTGATGGAATTTAAAGTTTCATTACTAAATTATATAAAGAGCCGTGATAGCTCAGTGTCCGGGCGTTCGCCTTTAATTCAATATACTCGAGCAACCTGAGTTCGATCCCCGGTGCCGGCACCAATGAAGTTTTTAACTTTAAGTGCTGACTTATCACGTGCTCCGCGGTGAAGGAAAACATCGTGAGGAAACCTGCATATTTTCGAAATAATAACAAAAAAATATATATTTCGAAAATATGTGAAGTCCGCCAATCCGCAGTGGGGCCGCGTGGTGGACTATGCCCTGATACCCTCTGTATAGAGGAGGCCTTTGCCCAGCAGTGGGACTTGTATTGGCTGTTACTTTACTTTTAAATATATATTTTACTTTACTTTACTAAATAATTAAAACATATACTTGTTATATACGCATGCACAATATGTAGTAAGTTTTAAAAATCATTACCGTCCCGCCTCAAAGCGTGTTATAAAAACATTTTCGCAAACTTCGCACAACTCCCACCGGTCGAGCAGTAGAGTAGCAGCGTGGGTCAAAGTAAAGAGAGTCGCCGCTCCCATACATATGTTGGTAAATAAATCGTTGCTTTATGAAAACCCGCGGCTTGATAAAGGACGTTTCGGGGGTTATCGAATATTTCATAAAGTGACCTCCTTCTAACGTTTACTTTCGCGTTCGCGTTTCATTTTAGATCTTTATTAGTTCTTTGCGATGAAGAGTGACAATAATATCCATTAAGCTAAGTGTCCTAGAGAATTGATTGGATGTTTAATGGGTTGATTTGCTATACTTGTATAGCCATTTTAGGGTTCCGTACCCATAGGATAAGACCCTATTAATATGACTCCGCTATCTCTCTGTCTGTCCGTCCGCCCGTATGTCACCAGGCAGTTATAACTTACGAAGCGTGATAGTTAGACAGTTGACATTTTAGATTGCTATACAACAGACATAATTTTTTGGTTTTTTATACATAATGGTATGTAACCCTTCGTGCGCGAGTTCGACTCGAACTTGGCCGGTTTTTTGGATGTGTAATCGCGTTCAAAATAGATATAATAAAATAAAGTTTTAACTATAATTAGCTCAAGGATCGCTTACAACTGTTTAGATTTATATGCCCCGAGCTTTCCCGCACTTTGGACTTCTTGAGTAATATCTATGGTTATATCTACAGTTATGGTACTGATTCTTTGCCAGGGTAGCTTTTTTTGGGATCTTTATCTGTACACGGACTAATGCTTTGTTACTACTAAGCTACTACTTAGTCGTATCCGGGTATTAATTAAGTCTTAAATGCCGTTTCATTTTCACTTTCATTAGCCTGTATTTGCTTCATTTATTAGGTTCTATTTATTAAAAACAGCAGGATCAAGTCCAACACCATCGCTTTATAAAGTAATATATTAACTTTTCATTTCTCTTTTAAATAAGTTTGACAAAATCGAAAATTGTCGCTTCCGTTAATAGAAAGCAAACAAAGAAAACAGTAGAATCCGTTCAGATGCTAAATCGTCGCAGTAGAAAATACGAGCTTTAAGTTATTTATCTGTTACACAGCTTTGTCTGGCGATTAACGACTTCAGCACTTATGTCTGATGCTCTTCAACTTTATCGCCCTCATTTATATGTATGGGTTACGTCACTAAGCACAGTGACAAACATTCTGTGACCTGCTTGTTAATTAAGACGTGCCGCACTATGGGAATTAGAGTCAATTTGTAAGCCGGAGTCGTTGAGCCCTAACATGAAACAATTAAACCCGGGGAGGTTCTTGAACGCTCGTCTAATTGACACGGTGGGTACGGTGTCAAGTGTAGTGCAGCGCCTCTCGAGGAGTGTGGATATTGTTTTGAGAAATTGCGGCGGGAAAAAATAATGTTTTTATGTTGTAGCTGGAATTGGACGTCGCTTTGTTTCATTATTTGTTTGTTTCCCGTAAATCATTTATATCTAAATGATTTAGATATAAATGATTAGATCTAAATGATTTAGATATAAATGATTTACGGGGATTTTTTAAAGCTAGTGGTAATTTCGGATATATCACTGATGAATTATAGTCTTTTATTAACATGTTTTATGAAGATATAAGAAAAGTTTAGATCGTAAGATAAATCGGTCTGCTCGAGTGTGTGCAGATCTTAACGTCGGCGAATATAATTGGCATCAATTGTGAGAATCTCATGTGCTGATTTAGATCCAATTTAGTCCACCTAATAATAAGGGGAATGCTATGACCGTTACATAAAGATAAAACGCACACTGTCAAAACAACTATTTCATATTTTATTAACTGTATTTTATGTTTATTGGTATTTAATTTTTTTTTTGTAAGTATCCATCCAATAGACTTTTTATAGGACCTTTTCTACTAAACATCAAAAGTTATATTAAGTATATGGCATATGAAATTATCAATAATTAAATAACCCTTGTTAAATACAGCTAATTTAACAAATCGAATGAATTATCTTAGTCTTCATAAACAAACAACACAGGTGGTGAGCAGGTGTTGATTGACTACACCTATAATTCATTAACACATGTGTAACTGGTTTCTCGTAGGTTATTTAAACTATCACACCTGTAATTTATGACACATCCTGCATATATAAAAATTTCCATAAGATATATTAGTAAAGAATGAAAAACTTCTGAAGCGAGTAAAAGTGTTTTCTCATCTAACTTACATGTTAGATGAGACATCTTCTGACCAGATCTAGACCTGAGACTTCATCTGAGGTTTTAGCCAAAGTCACTAAAACAACCCGGTTGCCGAGATTTCCGAGGCATTTAAGTAGAACGCCTGGCCCAGGGTCGTGTTATTTTAATTTCACCCACGCCTCCAATTGTATGTCGAATCTGCCAATCTATGGTGGGGTCGCATTTTGGACTATGTCGTAATACCCTCTGTACGGATGAGGCTTTTGCAGTGGGATATATAAGGGCTGCTACTTTTTAGAGTTCCGTACCCAAAGGGTAAAACGGGACTCTATTACTAAGTCTCCGCTGTCTGTCTGTCTATCCGTCTGTCACCAAGCTGTATCTCATGAACCGTGATAGTTAGACAATTGAATTTTTCACAAATGATGTATTTCTGTTGCTATAACAACAAATACTAAAAAACAGAATATTTTAGTGGGGCTCCCATACAAAAGTCATGTTTTTTTTTTTTTTTTTTTTTTTTTTTTTGCCGTTTTTATATATAGTACGGAACCCTTCGTGTGCGAGTCTGACTCGCACTTTGCCGGTCTTTTTCTTCATAACTGTAAGTTGTGGTTATTTGACGGGTCGGTCTTTCGTAGTTCTGTGGATTCCCTTCTCATGCCAAACTGCCCCACGAATGCCACATAAAAGCACCATTAATGCCGCGGCGAAGATTGCGCGCACTTCCGAGGCAAGGGACTCGTAAAGCAAGTAGATAACCGTTATTCGATATGATTTACGTTCAGGCCCGATTGAAAAAAAAAACGCATTCGTATTACATTCGATCTCTGTACATTTAGTTATGTTGCTGTTCAACTTCCAATGGTTTTCGTACAATTCGTTAGTCGAAAAAGTTGCCCTATCAACAAGTACCGGGAAGGATGTGCTTCAAATACATATTATTTTGTTTTCTTATATAGTTTCATACATGATCCGCTAAAGCATATGGTTTGTACATCACTATCTTCAAGTTGAAAACACTATATCTGATTAATTTGATCACGATAACCAGAACAAATAACACGTCATACTGACGTATTGTCTTACTATTAGATTCAATATTAATAGCATAAAAGTATTTTTTTTTATGTGAATAGTTGACAAACGAGCAGACGGTTCACCTGATGTTAAGTGAATACTGCCGCCCATAGACATCTGTTACATCCGAGGGTTGCAGATGCGTTGACAACCTTTTGCAAATTGGGCTCCGGCTACCTCGCTCACCAGACGAAACTCGAAAGCATTATACTTCCACTTTACGCCGGTCTTCTGTGAGGTCGTGGTACTTACCCGGACAAGCCTGCCCATTCGTGCAACAGCCGAGGCTGCTACGTGGCCCTACGACCGTTATCATTATATCCCATTCTGTTATACTTTTATAATGGCGTTGTATAAACAAATATTGTAATTTCTTTAATGCTCCCACGACAAAGGTAATACAGCAGCGGTTTCAGTTTTACTACGTTATTAGTGTTCCTTCAATTAAAAAGATATATACGTTCACTTATTTATTTCTTACGGCAACATTGATCCTGTTTGATCATGTCACATAAATATCTCGTATTTATTGAACGGTTTTCGTGTACGGTTCGAGACACGCGTCGTAAACCGTGTATTCCTTACTGCCTCCCGCGGGATTGCTTCGGTGTAAGGAAATTGCCAGAATAAAATGTTAATCTTCGCCCGGGAATTCCTTATTTACACCACCGTACCGCGGACTTACATTTTAACGGTAACGTTGATGCGAAATGTTTCATTTCCAACGGCCCTCGTTCTGCATACGGAAAAATATGAGTATTGCTGTCCCTGTCTTTTATGACATACACCCCCAAAAAAATTATGTAATTATGTTAATTCTTTATGAGTTTTGACATATAAAGCTCATATAAAATTAGATTTCACAACGTTAAGTTTCAATTTTGATAAAGGCTCTCCATTTAAGTGCTATAGATTAGCCGTAGAATGGACAGGTTTCGAGCCCCTCTTCGGTCCCGATAACGTTCAAGGGCCTAAAGGTACTTTGCGCCGACACCTCCCCGGTTCCCCTTTGTTCCGAGGTGACAGATTGTGATTCAGCTCCGCTTCTTTCGACGTATTAAGACGGCCGTATCTCTCAGATAAGACTGGATTTATAGTGGAGGTAATTTAAATAGCGATTTCGACTCTACGTGTTAATTTGCATAAATTTATACGTCCTTTAGTGACTCGAGGATAAGGTTAAATGTAGCCGAGGGTTTCCGAGCGACAATGATATTCATAATTTACCGTTAGGGGAGAAAAACTTGTATGTTATAAAAAAAATATTTCGGCTTGTATAAGTTTCAATTCTCTATAGATCAAAGAGGTTGTATTGGCTACAAATGGAACAGACGCTTTTACATGTAGTAACATTAATATATTGCTTAAAATATCTTATCGTTTTTAACGTTATGCCGCAATAAAGAAACACAGAACCTCTCTGAATCCGTAGTGCGTAGTGATACTTTACGTGAAATGAAGAAGGAATGCAGTGATGGAATTTTTAACGTACATCGGTACATTGAAGGCGTTGAAAATGATTGTGCTGTCGAACATGTTCCGCGGTAACCATCCACAGCAACATTTAGGAACGAGGGACGCGAACCCGACCGCGGAGCGGAGTGCGAAGGAGAGAATCTCCAGCCTGCTATCGCAAAGCTCGCTGCGCACCGAACTGCGCACTAGGACGCGGTCGAGCTTCAACGAGAAACGGGCCACGGGGGAGGCGTCCAACAGCGGCGTTAAAGAGAAACGCCTGTCCAGCAGCGTCGACGAGATAATTACCAAAAGAGACGTGAACAGCAAAGTGATATGCAGTGCCAAAGGTTTATTAGAAACAAATTTAGATGACCTATTCAACGACGTCCAGAGGCCGGACGGGTGGGCTGAACCAAAGAGCTTGGGGGCTAGTGTGCCGACGCTGAGTTCGTGCGACGATCGGGGGGCGACGGAGTATCGCGGATCACTGGTGTCTGGCGACGACACGGCAGATGATACGGCGACCGACAGCGACTCCCTAGACGATGTGGCACGCGAGCAGAGGAAGTGCATGGGCGCGCGCAGATTCGGACACATGCTGCGGAGGGTTATCTCTAGAAATGGTAAGCCGTTGACGCTATATCTCTTCCGGCCATCTGCCGTTACTACGTTAACATACGTGTTGAGTATTAGAATAGAACATTTCTTTATCTGTCCTGGCAAATAGTTGCAAAACATTATTTGTTGTATTTTACTTTTGACTGTATAGTCAATTTTTACATACAAATAACTCATCCTTTTTATGGGGTTTGTTAAAGGAAATGGGAATATCACGTTCAGTTTAGTATTATCTCAAGCCTTTATAAAGGTGATATACCCAGGTGAATAACGACTTTCAAATTAAGACTATAAGATATATAACCCTACGGTCATCATATATTTGTCCGCGTTAATCTATTAGAGTTTATCCACATTCCAGTTTCCTTAAATTTTCATCTCCATTTCGTTTAACGCACTATAAAGGACAATTGCAGATGGCATGACGTTGCGATCTATAAAAAAAGATATAAAATGGAAATATGGCCGATAAACTCGGCGGTTCGTAGCGCGACAAATCAAGGCAGCGCCGGTCGTTTATTTGTTTTCAATTGTTCTGAATTGCTCCTAGCGCTCCGGTTGTGGCGGCAAAAGTAAACCGTTGGTCGCATCGAATCTTATCGTGATTCCACAGTTGAAAACAAATCAAGCTTATGATGTCAATTCCATCCCAATTCATAATGTCAATGTAATGGTGTTTGTTCTCTTTGCTAGTCAGTTCGTGTTCTAAGCGTTATGCGCGGCTTTTTTTTTTTTTTTCATTTTAATACCATTGATAATTATACTAAAGGCCAAGCAATTGCATCTGATATTATGGAATAACCGTCGCTTATATACTCCAGCAACTCTGAGATGTATGAGGACGATCTTCCGGATACCCACGAAACGTAAACGTATAAACACACACACTGGTTACTCTTAGAAAAAAATTCTTTGTCTTAACTCTCCGGATAACTTACCTATCTTCTTCACATTTCTTGCCACAAAAATGTCGAATGTAGAAGTCACTGGGACCTACATCTGGCGAAGAAGGCGATTGTTCGAGCAGTTCAAATATTGTTTTTTGAATTGCAGCCACAGCTGCAACCAGAAGGTTGCAGTTGCTGTGGCCACAACTGCAACTTTTTGGTTGCAGCTGTGGCTGCAATTGCAACCGGTGCGTTGTCTTGATGATGATGATGATGAATATTCACTTCGGCTCGCAATTTGTGGCGTCTTTTTTTGAAAGAGCTTCTATATATTGCCTCCAGTTTCCAAGTATTCTAAGACGATAATTCCTTGATAGTCCCAAAAAAAAAAAACTGATGCCGTAATCTTTCCTGTCGAATTCATTCGACATTGATGGTGTTTAGTTTCTGGATCAAAATGGTGGATCCAGATCTCGTCACGAAACTTAAAACAAAATTCTACTGATCTGCCTCGAGCTTTACGAGATTTGCTCTTGAAATTTCGACTCGTTTCTTAACGGTTAACTTTCTCAGCATCTAACGCTCAGACACTGTCTTTATATGTAATTCGTTATCAAGCATTCTTTGAATACTGCCATACGAGATCCCTGTGATCTCAGCTACATGCTCTTCGATTCACCAACACGAAATCTTCGATATTTTCACGTTGCCTTCAGTGCGGGACGTGAATGGAAGTTCTTTGCGATGTTCATCTTCAGTAGATGTTCTTACAACCTTAAACCCTTTGGCTCAGCGTACACGGCGAAATAAAGAGGAGCAAAGTCCCCTTACATTTCCACTTCTTTCACCACCAAGTCGTCGTCTTTGGGAGACACGTTTTTCAAGCAAAACATTTATACGTTTTTTTAATGCTCGCCTAGTAAGGATACGTATTAAAAATCATTTTTCTCTTAATCTCGTAATGACAAGCATAAGGCAATAAATAGGTGTCCGCTTTCGTATAAATTCTTCATTCGCCACACAATATTATAATAATAAATATCATTTGAAATAAAATGCTATGACGCAACAGAAGCCAAACGTTGGAGACAGTTTTCGCGTTTTTATTTCATAAAACACATATCTGCTTCAATGCATTATTATTTTCACCTGCTTGTGCAGCTTTTATTTATTGTAAATACCTAATATTCGAATCCAAATCGAGGAACGTACTTTAATTTATTTTTAGTGCCTGTTTAAAACTGACTGCTTTGTATTCACCTTTTTGGGGGGTACTTTTATGAAACATCTATGAAGCTCTTCGACGCGTACAATGCAAAAGAATCTACCCATATCAATTCATGATTCCGTCATGCCGCTTTCTTGGTAAGAAGGGTATAAAAATAAGTGTGAGTAATATAATTCAATCTTTTCATGGTTGCTCGTTTAACTAACTGCTTTAATAATGCCCAAAAAACTAACAGCACGTACTTTTTCCAATCACGTAGAGATTCTGTGTAATCAAACTTCCCCAATTTCCCCTCGAAATTGTTGATTGAATTAGGAAGTCGGGCGATCGGGCTTAGGTAACCCCGCCTTGCGGCTGATTCGCTAATCGAGCCGTGCTCGGTCGGGCTCCGGTGAACCCTGCGACTTTATCAATTTCACTAGAGCTGCATTACGGTCACGTAGATGGTGCAGATCGACTGGATGTGCTCTGTCGTCGCCAATAAACTCGATTTAGAATTCCGCGCCACAAACGACTTAATTTGAATTTGGAACTGTGTTGTTTTCGAGAAGTACTAATACATTTATTATTGTTGTTGATGTTTGTGAATTTGCCATTTTAGTTAATCTTTGGTCTAAATGTATTATAAATAGGTGGCTCGGTGTTCGAAGTTACTAAGCTATTGGATTTATTAATGTTTTCAAAAAGGAATAAAAAATAATTTTAAAGCAGTACCGTAGCAGTCTTTATCCCAATCCCGGCGAAAGTAAAATTTTAAATGCAGCTTCTTAATTAATTATCACTCGCCTTTGAAGAAAATCTTAAAGAGAGATGCAGGACGGATAGCTTTACACTATATATTATCCCGCAAAATCAGTGCAAAAGAGCCCTGCATTGACCGTAATTAACTTTTTCTTCGCTTCCATATTTCTACCATAAATTTTACACTTAATTGCGATTGCCGTTATTATAACTTTATGGGCCAGTAGTTAAAATTCAATGCGAATTAAATACATCTTATAGATTAATGTTAAAAAACGCTACATATGCTTTGCAATGCTGTAAAGAAAAAAATCTCTACAATAGTTTTACCGGAGGTACGCTTCAAAACGGATACCACAAACATACATACACTCATTTTTTATTTGTAAGACTAAGCACGCTCTAGTAAGGCATTGAATCTTCGTCTCAAACTCAAAATTTCACACTAGATACACACCGTGACACCGCGATTACCCTAACCGAACATTTTCGGTTCTTGACTTAAGCATAAAACGACATACGAGTAGCGAAGTACGACCACTATTGCAAACAATCCTGCTATTCGTCTGCAGAAATTTAAAGGTACACATTAGATAGTACGAATTGATCAAGGAGGTTTGATGGTATTTTAAATAAAAAATGTTTTAAATTAGTTTGAGTGTGATTAATCTACATTTAGGGGTGTCACTTTCAAAAACTAGATGGATATGGAGAACTTGTATTAGAAAGTGCGGGTTAGTTTACCTCACTGCGATTGATTTATCATTTTAACTTTTTTTATTTTTATTAAAAAATTTAAGCCATTTGGTGTTTGCGCCCAGGTTGTTTTTCGTCTAATAGGTTTTAATAAAATCGGCGTTGGGGGTCGATTCCCACACGGGTCAATTATTTGTGTGGCTCACAAATAATTATTCCGGATCTGTGTGTTTGTTTTCCAAATTGTCAGGCTGGTCGAAAAAATCAAGGCCAAAACCGCTTAGCCTAGTCACACGTTCTGCCCACGCCATCTAGGTGGGATAAGGGCTGGAGGATGATGAGGTTTCAACAAAATCAGTGCTCTCGTTTAGATTGCTACGATACTACACAGTAGTCGCGTTAAAGTTGCCATATTAAAATACAGAAATAACATAAACTTAGTCGTAAGCCATTAATGTTGATAGCCTCCAGAATGTGAACTGCCTACCTCCTTATCAATAGTTTTATACCTGCAGTCGTTCGTATGTGTGTCCAAGAAATTGTTTTAAGAGATCAAGTTTGACCTTTAATAATAAGTCTACAGGAAGACGATATATTCACATGGATGACTCAGACCATGAAGACGGTGAATGTATTCTAAATAATATACCAACTTTAATGTTGTTTTTATACAGTATTCATTTTCAAAATTTATCGATCAGTTAAAATAGTATATTATGTAAATTAATATATTAAAACTGTAAATATTAACTTGTACATTTGTTTTTTTTATCCATGAGCAAGTTAGACAATAAACGCGGCAACTATAGATATATAAAAGGCAATTTTATTAGAAAGGTTTCAGTATTAAAGTTGCTTCCTTCCTGCACCGCAGAGCATTTCAATTAACAATTTCGTATATGTCGGCAACGGAATTCAATATTCGATGTGAAAGTCAACATTCAATTTTGATCTGTCAATGCAATTGGTAAATGTCGCGACCTCTAAACTCACAGCTTTGTGAAACCAGAAGTTAGTCTTAGATCCTAATTCTAACTGAAAATGTACATTTAAAATTAGGATCGGAGCCGTGGTTTTGTGCAATTTTTATTTTTAAACCGCCTTTACAAGGTAATTGAGGTCGATATTGATGAAAAAAATACAGCTCAAATATTTTCTCAAAATAGAAGGGGTTGCAGGGGTTGTTATTTTTCAGATATGAAACAAAAATGACTAAAGGTTACAAGTGGCATATTAAGAAATCTTTATTACATGTATAATATTCGTGCACATATATAAGAATTCTTATAAGAAAATGTATGACCTCAATATTTACATGTATATAGAAATCAATGATATTGTATACATATATGAGGTAGATATGACACTAGCCGCAACTGAGGAGGCGTTCAAATTATGCCAATAGGTGTAATTAGATTGCAACTCTATTACTGCTATCTCTTTCCGTATCATCTGTTCTATATCGTCTGTCACATTCACTTATGTAACATATAATGTAAAGCGGAACAATTTTTAAACGCCACGCAGTATGGACATGCATCATTTTTATCAAAA